GCACAGCCATATTAACTTTATTTTTGAAGTTACCACGCTCACGTCCCAGCTGCGTAAGCAATTCCTTGAGCCCATCTTGACCGTCCTTGCTCAGCGATAGGCCATTTAATTTGCCTTCAAGTAAAAACTTTTGGCGCAAACGTTGCTCAGCTTCACCTGATTGATCCTCTTGCTCCAGCAGAGCCGTGTACACTGTTTTGTTGCAGAATTTAGCAGCACGTGCATTGCGCGCACGTTCGTGTATGTTCATATAAGACTTGGTGGGTATCAGCGTGCTGTTGCCCAGGTAGAGCGCTTTGGCCACACCCCAGGTCGTCTCCAATGGCGCAGTAACTGCATCCAGTTCTCTGTATATATCGGCGCCTTTGAGCTGCTTGCCACTTTTGATATCCTGCTCAAGCATTTTGACCGACTTCTCCACGGCCGACGCCTGCTGGCCAATGGCGCCCAGACACATCTCGATGGTGATATCGCTGAATGCTGGCAGCCCATTTGGCATAAGTAGTCCCTCGCCCATTTGACCCTCTTCGCCGATTTCGGGCACGCTGCAAGCGGCAAAATGTAATAATTGAACTTGTTCCGCAGCCCGAATCCCAACACTTACAGCACAATATAGCCCGGCCGGCAGGGAGTAGAGTGTAAGCAACGTTGGGCGGCATTCGCAAGCGCCGCATGGCGCTGTCGCAATATGTTCAACATGTCTTAAATTCGAATTAAAAGCTAATTATTTACAATTAGAAAAATGCGTGCGGCCAAATTTTTCGGCAGCCAGCGTTTACACAACACTCTCAGCTGTTCTGCTTCCTCACTACTAAACGCCGATATATGCTATCGCCCACTTTGAGTTCTTATTGTACAGTTGTTATATATCTCAGCTGTTAATGTTTAATTTTAAAGTAATTTACCATTTGTCAGTTTAGCATCAAGCAATTTGCAAATTAAATAACTCTTGGAATTTAGTGTAAAATATGAGAATTTAAAATCGATAACACACAAGTCGCAGCATCGATAATAAAAGTATCGAATGTCAAAGTTTGGCGCCAAAAAACATATTTTAAAGTTTCAGTAGCGCTTGTAAGCTACTGTTCGTTTATGTACATACAAGGTAAATTCATAGTAAGTATAGTAGTAATTAGTAGCTAAGTATAAAATAATGGTAAAATGTAAAATCGAGTAGTAGATTAAAAGAGATGTAAAGATAATTGAGGATAAGCATAACTTAAACTAACATCCCAAGCCTTTGTATTGACAGCCATTGTGGGTCAAAGGCATGCCATTAAGATTGCTAACAATCTCTTTATTTTCCTCCTGTTCATCTTGCAATGTCGTGGCATTAAACTTCAACTTGACGGCATAGCCAAAACACCGTTCAAATCCGTTGATGGGCTGCGTGCTAATGGCGACCAAATGTCGGAATTTATAGTGCACCCAATTTCGGTAGTTTATCACTGACTGAGGCACTTTTACAATGCTGGCCAATATGGATCCACTAATTTTGGAGGAGTCCAAGTCCACTAGCTTCGACAGCTTTAGAAATGCCATTTCAAAGCCTTGCTTCACGTCAAGTGCTCCAAACGAACTGCGTCCTATGTCATTTGTCGGCGTAATAGGATCTTCAATGGTCAGCACCGACAACCAGTTGTAATCGCCGAAGGTGCTCTGCAGCACACACTTCTCCACGCTGCCACCACTGCCGCGCACAGATATTCCATACTTAAAGTAGTCAAACTTGCGTCCATAAAAGTCCAGGAACTTAAGCAGTAGCTTTCCCAATTTGTTATCATTTTTACACGTCTTCGTTTCGCTTAGAGACTGCTGCTGCAGGAAGCTGATGCACATGAGGGTGACGGCATATGAGGAAATACCGCCTGAGCTGTATACCTCATTTAAGCCTTGGAGCATTAGATATTGCTTCAGAATTATGACCAGCTTGGGAAGCTCTGGAAACTGCTCGATAAACCGCTGAACCAGCTCCGCCGCCTTCACGCCCGTCGTCGTATTAAATGAAATGTCAAACTTGATTTCCGAAATGCGTTCCGTAAACTTTACGACCGGAACTGATGCCTTGTCCAGGACATTGACATTGTCGGCAACTCCTCGCGCCATCAGCGCATTTTTCAGTTCGAGCAGCGGTGCACCGTGCCAGTAAAAATTGTTAACTGCAATATCAATATCAGAGATCGGTAGATTTAGGCCGGTGCGAAAGGAGCCAAAGACTTCAATGCAGGCATCCGGCCAAATGCTAAGCACAACCCTCTCAATACGGTGCACAGCTTCCATTCGCATCATATATTCCGTTGGCGTCGATACGATGTAGTTGTAAAAATGCTCGATCTCCTGATGGAGTGCGGCTACCCCGCTGCCATATTCAAAGTTCGGCATCAGCCAGGGCTCCCGCTGATCTGTGACTTTGCTCATCTTGCTGCCTCCTTAAATGTGATAAATTGTGATAGAGTTAAGAGTAGTAGATCTACATTCATATTATATTTTTGGTAACAATTCCAATTAAAACTTACGCTATGGCAATGTAAGTACGTCGATTCGCAATTCCAATTCGTAATTTGTTTTTTTTTTTTTCAATTTCTCTTCAAACCGAATAGCAAGAACAAGACAAATGCCAAAGCCAGCGCCGTTATACAGAGTTGCCACCCAGTTCATTTCGTGCCGAAAAATTCACTAGTGTGTGCTCTTCAAACTCGCTTATCGCGAAAAATGTTAGGACATGATGTAATTGAATTAAACAAACTTAACCATAAAACTAAACTCTGATAAGAATTTTTCACTTTTTTTTGGTTTTTTGAAAAATATTTATGCTAGAAACATTATTAATATACTGCAAAGGCATGTTGTTTACAAACATTTTTAATTATTACAGGATGACTGAGTAAAAAATTAATTTACAGCAATATGCACAACCAGAACTGAAAACAATACACATATTGGAGACTATAGTAACTGACCCTTAAGATCAACAAATTGAACTAAGTATGTGGACTATATTAACACCTAAAAAAAATTTCTAAATATGCGCACCACTGCCTGCACCCATCGAGGCACACTTCTCTGGACAATCTCACGCTCCGCTGTCGTGGACATGTCGTACAAGCGATCCGCCTCATTTTGAAGGCGTTGGCTGAGGTCTTTGTTAGCGGTCACCAGGCAAACTTGCGTCTCCAGGTCACGATTGACCGAGCGCTCGCCAAAGTTTGAGGAACCAATTAGCGTCAAATTGGGCAGTCGAGCCTCGGGCAAATAATACCAGAGTCCCTTCGCATGGTACGTCCAGCCAGGTTTCTCGTACTCAAAGAAATTGACACGATGATTTTGCTTTCGTCGCACCAAACTCTCATAGAAGCTTTTCGCAATCAGTGTATAGGCAGCAGGTATGCCTCCGGCGGGTCCCTTGGCGCCTTGAAAGCCATTGGCCTACAAGAAGAAAATATTATGTAAAATATTATGTAAACCGATATGACAGCACCTACATTTGGATGAGCCATGAGAATGCTACACTGCGCCAGACACTTATGTGTGATTGTGTCCATATACTCTTGCGTGAGATTGAAATAGCCGGTGGCCAGTTTAAGGCGTGAACCAGCAATGCACTTTGAGAGCAACTGCTTGGTCACCACGCTGTCATGATGTATGCCAATCTGGCCCATCTCCAGCAGAGGAAACACCCACGTGTCCGCCTGTGTGTTCTGATCCCTGAGCTGCAATTGCTTTTGGTACGCTTCCTGAACGAAATTTGTAATACGCTCCTTGGCCAGACGAATGAACTGATCTTTTGTGCCTTCGTATGGCAGTATGCGCCAGCTATGATGCAGTCCCTCTACCGCATCTGCGCCTACAGCCAGGCTGAACTCCTGCACACGCTCAATGAACTGCGCATAGAAATCTGCAAGCGGCTTGTCCTCAATAAGTATGTAGCGATCCTGACGATTTGTAAAGTAGTCGTTGGACAAATTGGCCCCAGATATGATCACTGTATCATCAAACAAGTACACCTTCATGTGCTGCAGTCCCAGTAGTTCGTTCCAGCGCGGCGGCGCCAGTCGTTTGGTCATGCCGCGCAAATCCGGCGTATGATACAGCGAGAATTGCACTTGTTCGCCAAATTCCCGCACCAGAGGTAGAAGCATGGTCTTGGAGTTGGCCGCACCACGTGTGCCGCGTGTAAAGTCCAACAGCACATTTAGGCGCAATGACGACTCCGCCTGCAGGCTATGACGCAACGTCTGCACAAAGGAGCTCTCCAGCTGACCTGTGCCCAGATACAGGCTAGCCAGTACAATGCGTCGCTTGGCCTGAGCAATGCGCTGTATCAGCGTTTGATAGAAGTGTTGAGGCTCGTGTATGACCTGTATCTGTTCGCCTCGCAGAGGAAAGCAGGGCGCCAGATTGTGTAACCAGGATAGACTCTCCAAGCCGGGGGAGCCCGCAAATCCGCCACACAACAACTGCTGCGGTGCATGCTGAAGGCAGCCCAACAGGTCGCTCTGGGTGGCAGGACATAGTTCTTGGGTGAATAGGCGGCGCAGGTACATCATTTTCATTGAGGGCCTAATGAATATTGGACTCCTCTACTCTGGCCGTGCCAGCTCCTATTGCAGTGTTCGACCTAGCTGCGATGCTAGTTTCATTCATTGGTTGGATTGAGTATTAAAATAAACTGAACTGGTTTTACGAAATCATATCAAAATTACGTTTACGTGCTGTTGCTGTGCTGGGAATTTGAGATGTATCGATAAATTATTTCTTATCGATTCACACACAGATGTCCGATTGGATTTGTAAGAACCATAGTATTGTAATTGCCGAACGGGCTGATCGCACGAAATAACGCTGTTTTAGTATAGCCAGTAGTGTATCCAATCGAGTATAATACAATCAAATGTAACTTATAGAAAAAGCCTGTTATGTGAACAAGGTAGTTGTTTTAAATATCGATGCTCAACGCTTAAAAAATTAAAATATCGATATTTCTGTTGCACACCACTAGCACAGCCAGCACAGCGCAACAACAACAAGCAAGGAGAGAAGAAGAACCAAGCAAAAGAAAAGCCAACGAAATCAACTGCGAAAATTTTGGATCTTCTTCCTACACACAGAACTTACGTTGTCCAAATGCTTTTAAATGTGAACGCAAGGGATTAAAAACGGCAAAAAGTTGATGTGTGTGTGTGTGTGCATGTGTGTATAGAAAATCAAAGCAAGTTTCAATAGCTCAATAGTGCAACGCAACCAGGTACGAGTGCGTGCAGCAGCAGCAGCAGCAACAACAACAACAACAACAACAACAAAGAGAGCGAGAGCCGACCCGAGCCGTAACTCACTTTGCTTTGGAATTTTCATTTGCTGCCTTTTCTTGCTTTTAATTTAGCTTGAACATTTTATAGACGAAACGAAATTTGAAGTCAGGTGGCGTGACCTTTCATAACAGCTAACATGTCTTGGACAGAGAAAGTAGATCCGGAGTTGATCTTCACCAAGCAGGAGCGAATTGGCAAGGGCTCCTTTGGTGAGGTGTTCAAAGGCATTGACAATCGCACGCAGCAAGTGGTGGCCATCAAGATCATTGATCTGGAGGAAGCCGAGGATGAGATCGATGATATACAGCAGGAGATCATGGTGCTATCACAGTGCGATTCACCGTATGTGACTAAATACTATGGATCCTATCTGAAGGGCACTAAGCTTTGGATCATTATGGAGTACTTGGGCGGTGGCTCCGCATTGGACTTGATGAAAGCGGGCTCCTTTGAGGAAATGCACATTGGCATTATATTGCGCGAGGTGCTGAAGGGTCTCGACTATTTGCACTCAGAACGCAAGCTCCATCGCGACATCAAGGCGGCCAATGTGCTGCTCAGCGAACTGGGAGACGTAAAACTAGCCGATTTTGGAGTAGCTGGCCAGCTAACCAACACGACATCCAAGCGCAACACATTCGTGGGCACACCCTTTTGGATGGCGCCGGAGGTTATCAAGCAGTCCCAGTATGATTCCAAGGCGGACATATGGTCGCTGGGCATTACGGCCATTGAGCTTGCGAAAGGCGAGCCACCCAACTCGGAGCTGCATCCGATGCGCGTGCTCTTTCTAATACCGAAAAACAATCCGCCCCAATTGACAGGTAACTATACGAAGTCATTTAAGGACTTTGTCGAGGCATGCCTCAATAAGGATCCCGAGAATCGACCCACGGCCAAGGAGTTGCTTAAGTATCCGTTTATCAAGAAGGCCAAAAAGAATGCCTACTTGATTGACTTAATCGATCGCTTCAAGAAATGGAAACTTTCCAAGGGCGATGAAAGTGAAACCGAATCGGAGAACTCCGATTCCGACTCGGACGCCAAGCAGAGCGGTGGCGGCGGCAGCAGCCACGACGAGCCCTGGATAATGACCGTCAAGGGTTTGCACATTAATAGCGCACCGCGTGCTGGTGTTAACAGCTTCCAGCTGCAGGAGCACGAGTTGACCATGCAGAAACTTATGGCCACCACACACTCGCCCTCGGGCAACTCCAGTGGCAGCAACCAAACCGCTTCGGGCAGCAATAGTAGCAACAGTATTGGAGGCGCAGTCAAAGCCGCGAGTGCAGCTGGTGTGGGTAATGCAACTGCAGCGACAGTGGCGTCCGCTGCCAGCGACACACCAGCGTTGGGTAACAGCAACAGCAACAACAATAACAATAACAACAACAGCAACAACAACAACTTGAACAGCAAACATGCCACAACTACCATGCTAAATGCGCCATTGAGTGGAGGAGGAGTGGCATCAGCTAGCAATGCGTCATCCGGCGCTGGCAGGATGCTGCCTGTCAGCACATCTAACTCGGCCAATGACCTTGTGCAGAAACGTGCCAGCTCTAAAACAGAGCTCCGTCAGTCGCGCTCTGTGGCCACATTGGATCAGGTGGAGGAGCGTCGCGCCTCTCTGGGCCTGCCACTTAGCATGGACCAGCATCAACAGCAGCAGCAGCAACAGCGTCGTAGCAATAATCGTGAATCATTCCATGCGACAAGCGCCAACAATGTGAGCAACTGCAGCAGCAGCAGCAACGCTGCCGAACACAACGATTCCTTGGCTTCCAATCAATCCAATCACGGCAAGCTGGCAACCAGTCAGGGACAGCGAATGCTACATCACACGAACAGCGCTTGCCTGAACAACTTGCTCTTCCCAGTGCTGAGCGACATACAGCGCAAGTACAGCAATAGCAGCAAGAATTTGCAGAGCATGCACGGCGTGGGCGTGGGCAGTGACATTGGCGACCTGAAATCTGTGTTTGAGCTGGCCGAGCGTTCCAGTCCGGGCGTTAGCGATCTGTTCATGAAGGAGCTAATCCATATGTTGATGCCCGGCTATTCGGAGACGCGCATCAATAACATTATGGATCGCGCCATACGTAACCGCAAATAGGCCGTGAAACGGTTAACCAAATTCCAAAACAAAACTTACATAAACATATATATATATATTCTATATACATACTATACGTGTTAAATAAATCCCGAGAAACAGCAACGGCAAACAACATATTCCGACATAGTGGCCAATGGAGCAAGCAGCGTTAGACTTATGAAAAACGAAAGTTTATATATACTTATGTAGTTGTACATGTACGTATTTCAACTGAGCCATGTGGCAAATGTTTATTCAACAGTTATTTAGGCATACAAGATGTATTCGTTTGTTTATCTGCAATATTAATATTATTAATATAATGTAAAACATATGCAACTTTAAAATAAAACAAAATGCAAAACGTAATCGGAATTTAATCTAGCGCCCGGCGCGGGTATACATTGTGGCGGTTGGTCGATAACACTAAGTGTAATCACTAACTATGCTATGCTTAATATGGTTTGTGGTGTTATCGTATGCAATTTAGCTGCAATAGTAGCAAAATGAAAAGGCCTTGTGTTAATAAATAATTGGGTTAACTATGAACATATGTAAAATATAAAGAAAAGAGAAAATGTTGCTTGTAGTCGAAATTTAATTTACCGCCCATATGGTGGTGGTCGATAAGGCAATTAAGTGTGACAGTTTTTTTGTGCAATTGATCTGGCATCTCTCCTCGAAAAACAAGCTACAGTGCAAACAATTAAAAAAAAAATAAGCCTCTACATGGAATTAGATTAATTGCAAAAATGTCGCAAATTTTAGTAGATGAGGAAGCATTAGAAACGCTAACTTATGAGCGTTCAAAAATTTGGTCCAACTTTCTCAAGGTGAGCTCAAATATACATATACCGTATTCCCGATCGTCGCCAAAGCATCGAGACCCTTTTTTTTTAGCGTTGTGAGGAAAACGAAGAAGGCGAAGAAATTGAACTAAATCAAATCGAGGAGCTATATAAAAATCAGGACGAGGAAAGTATTGGCGGTATTGAAGAGGCCGAAGAAGACGATGTTGAGAACGATATAAACAACACAACGGCCTGTATGAGCAAGGCCGAACTTACTCTGATGCTTTGCAGTGGTGATAACAAAGAGATTCTAAATCAAACGCTGCCCATTGTGGAGGAGCATGTGCGCAAATGGAAAGCGGCTGGCTTGGATCGCATACTGAACACTTTTGATGCGCAGAAGATCGAGCAGCATGTGGGCGACTGGTTGCGTCGCCACAACAGTGCCTACGGCGATAAGACATTGTTGCAAATGTCTCCAGAAAAGACGTACCACAAACGCTGCAAAGACCACAGCTACTCGCCGGATGTAAGCAATGAAAGCGAAACTGAATCGATGCACTCTGTGGACACAGCCCGCTACATACGCGCCAGTCGCAAGCGCACCGCATCCACTGTCACCAAATGCAGCAGTCCCATGACAACAATCAAAATGTATCGCACGGTGCCACGCAAGCGCGATGAGTTGCGTGCCAAGTACGGCTGTAATGAGTACAATGAGGAGCAGGAACATCGTCATCACATGCAGGCACTACGTCATCGTCGGGACCAGATGCATAGGCGCAATCGTGAGCGCGAGCTAATTTACCATGCAAGTCCAAGGCATTATCCGTATGGTGTGGCTGCCAGCTTCCATGGCCAGCAGCGACGCAAGCAGCTGCGCAAGCGACGCGACAGCTCTCCACTTTTTCCATCATCATCCTCCAGCGAAGATGAGTTCGGCCATACCCGCTGCGACTGCAGTGCATGCGTGAGGCGTGCCTTTTCCAAAACGACCCACCCATATTGTGCCTATCGCAGCTATCACAGTCACAGCCTCTATCATCATCAGCGAGTTGAATTGGGTTCGCGCAGCATATTCAAGCGCAGCGTGCATCAGTTACGGCGTCAGCATGCCTTTGAGGAGGATTTGCGGCCGCGTATGTTGGAGAGCGATTGTAACTGTTGCAACAAAGATCGACTATGCTCAAATGTGGTGCACATTGCCAATAGCTCAACAGAAGAATGGCTGGTCGAGAATAAAAGCAGTCCCGACCCAGTGCAGCCGAGCACACCGAGATGCAGTGCGCAGGCCTCGACGAGTCGTTCCAAGACATTAAAGCCAACGCTGCAGCCAAAAGTACAACCGAAAAAAAAGCAGATTTGTTTAATTGACGAAGAATTGGAAGAAGACACAGAGGAGGAAGAGTTGATGAAGAAGACAATCCCCAAAATGCAGCAGCTGCCCGAAGCAGAGCCTAAGAAAAAAGCATTAGTTAAATTCTTAAATGTGGAAGAGGCAGCCCCAATACCAACTCCCAAAGCAGCATCTGTAAAATCCACCTCTATGCCAATTCCAAAGCTTGAACCGAACAACAAAGAGCTGACAAGCACAACTAGTTTGCCGGAGATGAGCAAAGAATCCATTAAAACTAACAGCAGTGTCGATAAGGAACCGTTTGCTAAACCTGAAGTGCCCAAAGCGTCTAGCCACAAAAAGCAGCCACCAAAATCTGCAAAAAAGGTGACTGCAGCTGAAAGGAATGCCAAGAGCAGTAAAGCAAAACGCACGGACAACACTTCCAGAGAAAAACCTGAAAGCACCGCCAAGTCAAAGCCTAAGAAAACCAAGCAAGCATTAAATGAAACAGATGATCCCGAATCAGATCTCAGGCGTGCGTTAGCGCTTTCGAAGCAAACATATTTGGAGGAGTGCAAAAAACTGAGGCAACAAACGGAGCCAAAGGAAGAAGTTAAAGCCGCAGCATCGCCACAGCTGCCGGAGCAATCGAGCTTTAACAACCAAAGCGTGGCATGTAACTCGACGGCAATGTCCAATGATACGGCTTGTGCACGTGCCCTAAAATCGGCCAAAAAGCCAATTAAACGTGCAGCCAGCACATCACAAGCGATGATTGATCTTTGTACCTCCGATTCCCCTTCGGCATTTGACACTTGTTGGAACCAGAAGGATGGTGATGCCGACTGTACTGTAGTAACATCTACAACTAGCTGCGAGCCGCCTGCAACCGTCACCAAGACCGCAGCTGTGGCCCCGCGTCCAAATATAAAGTTAACAAAAAAAGGAATTTTACTTTATGCGCCGGCCGATCGGGCGCAGAGCTGCAGCTCGAGCAACTTTACGCTCACCGAGCACAGCCTCAGCCCCATCATTGGACAACGGAAAGCGAGCAAGTTTTTTAAGTATCATGTGGGCAGCCGCAGCTTTGATAGTCGCTACTCTATTTATTATCGTCCCACGGCGAAGATGAAGGCTAGGCTGTGTTCCGATGACAAGTCTTTGGATTATGAGTCTTCCAGTTCCAGTAGCAGCGATGATGACATCTTTGATCGTGTTCGGCGTTACGGAGAGGTCTACTCTGTGCTGGAGAAAAGCAACGAAGGCGATTGATTCGCCTAATTGTTCGCTTATTGCTATAAGCAAAACATTGTGTATACTTTCTTAATATATTTCATATTTAATATTAAACAGCTTGTCCTTATCTTTAATTTAAATATTTGACGAAAGTTTGTTATATTAAATATTCATTAACATTTCGCTATCAGCAACAAAAATACTGCTAACATTCATATTCAGATTTTTGCATTAAAAAATAACGTATCTTTAAATGTTTACTTAAAGGAATATACTAAACTCTTTGCAATGTCCGAATGATTTAAAAAATATTTTTTCTTAATACAAACCTTAGTAATAAAAGGCAAATATAAAGCAATGTTAATTTTTATATTGAAGAAAACGCGACGACATTGTAATTTATTCAGTTAAGGATGGTCGAAGAGGCCACACTTATTGGTTCTTTTCCCATTCGGTTGCAAGTGCCCGGCTAGCTCAGTCGGTAGAGCATGAGACTCTTAATCTCAGGGTCGTGGGTTCGAGCCCCACGTTGGGCGAAAGCAAACTTTTTGTACTATTTTATTTATAAATAAAATATTTTGTAATAGGTTGAATTAAAATTACTTAGGTAAAAAACAATTAAAAAAGTTTTATTTGGCAACTGGGTGGCCAAGGTTCTACCGAGATTTGAACTCGGATCGCTGGATTCAAAGTCCAGAGTGCTAACCATTACACCATAGAACCGTGGTGACGGTGTAGAGCCTAGTATAATAAATTCCTGATCACAATTTTATTAAATTATTAAGAGGGAAAAAACTTTTTGGAAATGTTTTGATTAAGGCATGTTTACGTAAAAAATTGTACTATCAATTTTTAAAATTGAAAACAAAAATATTTTTAGAGCGAAAATGACAACCAAAAAAGAATAATAAACAGGTTCTACCGAGATTTGAACTCGGATCGCTGGATTCAAAGTCCAGAGTGCTAACCATTACACCATAGAACCAGGTTGAAAAACGATTGCCAAAACATAATTTTGTTGTTATGGCCAATGTTACAGTATTGTAAAATGTCTTTTGGATAACATTTTGGTACTTATAAATTGCACCTAATATTTTTAGTATTTTTTATTGAGCCAAATTTTGAATTTTTTTAATGTAACTGAAAATACGAACGTAAATACGGTTCATATCGATACGCCGTTGTCAAGCAACTAACAATATAAAAATGTAAAATTTGTTTAGTCAATTACAGCAAAGAAGCAAACATCAAAACAATTTTAAATAGTCAAATAAAATTTATTATTTTCATAGAGTGCAAATTGATAATACAAAAAGATGGAGAAGAGTAAAACGCTGTTGGAGAAATATCAAATACCAATAAATCATCTGGATTTTGCTTACGTGGACAAATGCCAAAATGCACGCGAAATGGAAAAGATTGTAATGATTTTACGTTCCGGTGAAGAAGGTTATTTTCCTGACTTGACGCGCTGTGCCGAGGAGAAATTAAAGCAACTAAAGCCGGACAGCAAATTGTTTCGCATCGAGGAGCAAATACGTTCCAGTAATGTGCTGGACAAACAGGAACTCAAGCCCATATATGTAAATATCTCAGATGGAATGTGAAATATTGTTAATTTGTGCAATAATGTTAATGTTATCCAGGACTGGACAAATGACATCAAGAACAAGGACAGCGCGCTAAATGAGCTCAAAGAGGAATCGGCTGAGTTGGCAACGGATCTGCCACCCGTGCGAAAGCCATGCAAAATAGAAATTGACAAGGAGGAGAGTGAGACCCAAAATGCTGGACAAGTGCCTAAGCCGAACGCAAAGCCGCAGTTGAAATCAACAAATGAAGAGCGCATCAAATCTACCGATTACAGTAAATGGGACAAGTACGATCCAGATGAGGAAATCTTGCGCATGGATTTGGAAGAGGAACGTTCAAAAGAGCAAGCAAAAATAAAGTTACGCAAAACCGAGACAACAACAACAAAAGAGGAGCACATTAAAATTTGTGAAAAGGGCGCCGAGGAGCAGCGTCTGCAGGCTCAGCTCAAGAAACTAAGTCAAATCGAGCGCGAGCAATATGCCGAGAAGTGAGTAGTGTCCAGTTCTTTATGCAGATGTACCGATATATACATCTTATGCGGCACAGATATCGTCTGCGGGGCAACGAGTACTTTAAGGCCAAGGAGTATGACAATGCCATTGAGGAGTATACACTAGCTATAGTTTACGATCCGGCACAAGCTGCACGCGCCTACAACAATCGCGCCGTATCCTGTGAGTAGTCACGTACCTATACCTATACATATATATATATATATATATATATACTAATATTTCTGATTTATCAACAGACTTGAAGAAGAAAAACTATTTGGCAGCTATAGATGATTGCGAAGCCTGCCTCCGGCTCGAGCCCGACAATGTGAAGGCACTTCTACGTTTGGCCGATGCCAACTATGGCCAGGGACGTCGTCGCGAGGTTTGTAGCCATTTTAATGCAAACATTATATATCCTGACTTATCTTCTGCCAGTCCTATGGCTTCTATCAACGTGTACTGGCTCTGGAGCCCAATAATATAAGTGCTAAAAAGGCGCTGGACGAATTGCGTCAACAGTTGGGCGAACTGGCTCCTGCACATGCTACACGTATGATCATTGAGGAGCTCCAATCGGAGAAAGCCGCAGCTGACAATAAGCCCAAGACACAGGCACAGCCAAAGCCACAGCCAAAGCAAGTGCAGTCGGAGAAGCCGCCCAAGGATTATGATCTGGCCGAGCTGGTCAAGCCAAATCGGGTCATTAAAAGTAAAATAGCTTGTGCTGCCGAAGCACTAGGAGGCACACTGAAAACCAGAAATCCCGTTGCCAGCGCCCAAAAGCAACAGCTGCAGCAGATGATGCAAGAGGTGTCCACAGCGCAGGCGGAGCTGCGTCTGCCGCAGAGTAACAAGAGTGGCAATAACAACAACAAGCTCTTAATACAGGAAATACAATGAGACAATCATAAACATATGACATTTATTGATTTCAATTTAATAATAAATGCTGTATATAACGTCCAACAATAGAAAATGGGCGCTGCTCAAATGTTTCCTTTTCGTGCATTGTAATGGACACCTGTGAAAAAATTATGCGCAGAAACAGATTAAAGGAGATTGAACTTTTTATAATCATATATTTTGGAAGGACTCGGACCTGATCGCCGTTCAAGCGATTAATGAGCGTTACACAAACATCAGCAGCCCTGACCCCAACCTTTTGAGTCAGCGAGGCGAACATGGTGGCCTCCATTTCGATGTTGCATATGCCCTTCTTTTGGCATTCCTTCAGGAATGCCATCTTTTCATTATCGCTGTATTCACACACAGCGCCATCAGTGCGTCCTTGACCTGCATAGATCAAATAAAGTTCAATAAAGCTTATCGTCATTTCAAGTGGGCAGCACTTACCCTCATAGAAACAATCGGTGGACATTGTGTTGGCAATTATGGTATTGAAGCCATCGTCAGATTTGGCGCCATATTTTAGGATCTCCTGGCAAAGTGTGTCTGGGAAACTAGCGGGTCGCACCACACGCTTTCCCAGAATGGGCTAGCCAGACGAGAGAAATGTAACAAGAAATCATTAACTGTGAGAGCAGGTACTCCGTTACGCGAACACTTACAATCTCATGTTCGTTTTTTAAGTAACCATTATACGCATCCTTGGTGATTACAACGGTGCCCGGCTCAACGCCTACGCCGCCACATGTGCCAATGCGTATGAATACGGGATCCTGACACTTGGCATACTTGACCAGCTTCAGCAGCTCGTGCAGCACCACCGAGAACGTTGAGGAGCCGACACCATGGCTGACGCATAAGACGGGGCCCACCTTGTAGACAGCATAGCGTTGTCCACTTTCGCATAGATCAACTGGTTCGCTGTTGTCCTTTATGCCCAATATGGGACGCAAATAAATAGCCAACTCTCGCATACGCTTAGAAGTGCCACCAGCGCATACGGCCTAATTAGGGGAAGGATTATAAATATTCAGCAATTCAATTTATTCGAAATTCTCACGCACGACAATATCGCCGAATTGTTTTTGAATAACGCTTGTATCCGCTGTATTGGGCACATTGATGTTCAGATGGTATAGAAAATCAGAGGGCATCTTATTGAGATGGGGATTTTTCAGATTTACGCTGTGGGTAAAATACTTAAAGCTCGCATGCACTTTGGCACGTAACGCAATGTTCACTTACCCTTTTAACATTCTGTGCTAGGTACTAGATAACGCTATAAATAATTTCCAGATAATAATGTCATTTTGTTTTTATTAGTAAAGACTGACTGCTTATAAGTATACCATTAAATAATGTTTTATAACTACCCTGTCTAAGTGGCCCGTAAAATATTTAACTTCCATTTCACCTATCGGAATAGATTTTCCGTAAAGTTTGATTGGATGAAAAACAAAATGATTTAATGAACCTCATTATTCGACCGATTCTTTCCATAGAGCTATAATAAAAAGTAGTTATATCTCGATGAGACTTAGCTCATATAATGACAGCATAGTAAATGCCGAGTTTTGTCTAGGTATATTTAAAACTGATGGAAGGCGTCTGATATATTATATTATATTATATCTTTATATTACTCGACATTAACTTCAAAATGCGGCTCTAACTGGTGAAGCTTACCGATACAAGAGCAGTCCCTGTATAGCGATAACGCTCGACGAATGCCTCAGATATTTTTGCAATGATTGCATTTATGCGCTTTTTACTGCTTCTCAGAAAAACAACACAAACCCCTTTTCTTATTACAAGCACTCATTTTTCTGTGTAAATATATGTATGCATACATGCTTTGGTGTGTGACTCGTTGCATTGGCGAATGAAAAACAGAATTGCAACATGTGAGAATTGTTTACGAATTTTATAACCACTTGCAAATGTAAATAATTTATTGAAATTCTGAGGAATTTCAATACTTGCAATGCAATGTAACTAGGGGATACCCTGAATTCTCTTCTTCCAACATAAAATACATGAATATATTCTATTTTAGAAGCAACATATCATTTTTGGTGACTCTAGCTCTTATTATTTACCAAAATTGTCCAAAAAACAGGATATTATTTATTACAGTAAGTTATCGATTATCGAAAACTCGATCTGCGCAGGCACTAGGAGCACCTACATCTAAAATTTCAGTCTATAGCTCTTATATGTTCTGAGATCCTTGCGTTCATATATACGGACGGACGGACGGACAGACAGACGGACGGACGAACAGACAGACGGACATGGCTAGATCGACTCGGCTATTGGTGCTGATCAAGAATATATATACTTTATGGGGTCGGAAATGCTTCCTTCTGCCTGTTACATACATTTGGTATTTGCACAAATACAATATATATTTTTAATGGGTTCAGGGTATAAAAAAAGTTCCCTCAATTTGGGAGATAAACAATGTAAGCGAGCGAACTATTTGCCACCGCTTCAACTTAACAGCCAGACCAGCGACCCAATCATGGTCAATGAATACATAATACAATTGTAGTGTTGCTTATAGAATTTAAATTGACGCGCATGAACATGTGTAAACGCATTCAGAATTTATTGGAATAAGCGTAAGCTGTTGCAAACAAATGGACTTCTACAACTGCTGTTTTTTATCCGAACTTGAACTTGAACTACAGTCGCAAAACGTCAGTAAGATTATTGTTAGTTAAGATTTTGTCTTAAATTGGTGGACAGTTCTAATTGATTTACTTATTTGAATTTTCTTAAACAAAATTTTGATATTAGTGTTTATAAATAGCTTTTAAACGCGGCACGTTTCCGATTCTCGGAAACAAATTTATACGGACGAACAGACGGACTCGAACTAGAATATATGTATATACGTACATTACATTACATTTGCACAAAGACAATTAACCCACTTTGTCCATTTTTGATAGGTTCAGGGTATAATAAACATATTCGTATTCTAAAGAAGGACCACTTTCAAGAACCGTCCGTGTGAAAGGGCTTAGGCTGGGACGTAGAACAAAACAACATATATGACAGATGTGCAATGCTATTTAATAGTCAGCATTCTTTCATGCTTTGCAGTAAAGCAAAAAAATAACTTACACTAGCTAGCCGAAGGGCAAAAAATTAGCACGCAACAACAATTTATCACGAACCTACATATACATACATCTTATCTACAAAACTTTATATACACATTTTTATATTTATATTTATAAATTTAAACGAGTAAGATAGATCTAGTCGAAAGTGCCCGACTACGCCTTACACAATAAGATATTATTTTGTGATAGAATTCGGTGCCTATTGTCCGATCATTATGAAATTGCTAGGAAATAAATCTAAATATATGTAAATACCAAACACCACGGTCACAGTTCTACAAATTAATTTATTAAAATGTTGAAGGGAACGGCTAACGTATTCAAAAAGTGAAATATTCGAAATATGGTTCAAGACTTGGTGTTACAAGCTCTTGACTTGATTCGCGCGGGCTCACACATTCAACTAGATCGGCTCGGTTGCCATAACTACTTATATTACCTGTTCTACCCACTTTCAATGTGTTCAGGTGATAAAAATACACTAACATTTCTACATACACTTTTGCACGCTTTATCTTTCCGCTATACGTTGTGATCGCTACGACGTCGCTTTAAATACTGAAGTATACATTTCGGATTGATCGCCTACAGGTTTCATTTTTTTCTCTCGCGTTCTCTCTCTCTCTCTCTCTCTCTCGCATACAGGGATGCTGCGAAGTTTCAATTGTAACTAAGACTTCGCTTATGTACTTGAAACTGGTTGTCATAAGAAAAAAAGAAAACATTTTACTAAAAACTAAATAAACAAAGGAGTACATTGTACAGTTAGTGTTGACGATTAGTTCTGATCGCCACTGCAATCACATGTATAAGAACTGTCTTCAGCCGGGGGCTCTCCGTACATCGCCTTCCGTATGTAGCGAGCGATTAGTATTTGAGGTCTTGTGTCGTAATCTTTGAGTCTCGCTGGTGGTGCGTCTATCTGCAATAAGCCAAGAAGTCAATGATCGGTGTCAGCGACCGGGCATAGATTAGACAAACCTGGTCGCCCTCCATGCGATTGAGTAGGGTCACACAGACGACAGCGGCACGAATATTGGCCTGACTTGTGAGGCTTGCGAATGCGGTGCTCTCCATTTCGATATTGACAACTCCACTCTGAGACAATTTCTCTAGGAATGCCATCTTTTTCTCTGGTGTGTAATCGCAAAAGGCACCATCTAGACGTGATTGTCCCTCATAGAAATCATTTGTACAAAGCGTTTTGCCCAAGACAGTGTCATAGCCATCTCCACAGGGATTAGATAGCGATCTAAGCGTCTTGGCCAAGTCCTGGTCCAGTGTGGTGGGCCGTAGCTGCGGCTGTGTCTGAACGACCACCTCGTGCACAGGACGCAATTGGCCATCCAGAGCCTCTGAAGTAATCACCACGGTGCCAGGCTCAACGGTAATGCCGCCACTGGTGCCCATGCGAAAGAAGACAGGATCCTGACACTTGGCATGGAACACGAGCTTGATGAGCTCGTGCAATACTATGCTGATTGAGGGCCCGCCAATGCCATGGCTGGCGCACAGCACTGGCCCAACTTTGTACAAGGCGTATCGATGGCCTTCCGCGGAAATGTTTTTTAGCTGAACGCTCTGGCTCATCTTAAGTCCAATCTCTTTCATGATGTAATTGGCGAATTTCTCCATGCGCGATTCCGTGCCGCCCAAGCATACGAACTGTGGTCATGACAGTTGATATATAAGCAAGTAAATTATGCTCTCTTGCTTTTTAGCATTAATAAAAAATAAACAAGAGGTTCTAGTCGGGAGCTCCCGACTAGGGGATACCCTGAACCCTTTTCTTCCAACATCAAATATATATATATATTCTATTTTGGAAGCTATATGTCAAGTTTGGTGACGCTAGCTTCTATTATTTACCAAAATTGCCCATATAGGATATCGTTATCGATTTTTATCGATTGCTTTGAAACTAAGTTATCGATCATCGGAAACAGGAACTGGGAGCACCTACATCTAAAATTTCAAGTCTAGCTCTTATAGGTTCGGAAATCCTTGCGTTCATACATACGGACGGACGGACGGACATGGGTAGATCGACTCGGCTATTGATGCTGATCAAGTATATATATACTTTATGGGGTCGGAGATGCTTCCTTCTGCCTGTTTCATACATTTGGATTTTGCACAAATACAATATACCCTTATACCCATTTTAAATGGGTTCCTGACTTATCTTCTGCCAGTCCTATGGCTTCTATCAACGTGTACTGGCTCTGGAGCCCAATAATATAAGTGCTAAAAAGGCGCTGGACGAATTGCGTCAACAGTTGGGCGAACTGGCTCCTGCACATGCTACACGTATGATCATTGAGGAGCTCCAATCGGAGAAAGCCGCAGCTGACAATAAGCCCAAGACACAGGCAAAGCCACAGCCAAAGCCACAGCCAAAGCCACAGCCAAAGCAAGTGCAGTCGGAGAAGCCGCCCAAGGATTATGATCTGGCCGAGCTGGTCAAGCCAAATCGGGTCATTAAAAGTAAAATAGCTTGTGCTGCCGAAGCACTAGGAGGCACACTGAAAACCAGAAATCCCGTTGCCAGCGCCCAAAAGCAACAGCTGCAGCAGATGATGCAAGAGGTGTCCACAGCGCAGGCGGAGCTGCGTCTGCCGCAGAGTAACAAGAGTGGCAATAACAACAACAAGCTCTTAATACAGGAAATACAATGAGACAATCATAAACATATGACATTTATTGATTTCAATTTAATAATAAATGCTGTATATAACGTCCAACAATAGAAAATGGGCGCTGCTCAAATGTTTCCTTTTCGTGCATTGTAATGGACACCTGTGAAAAAATTATGCGCAGAAACAGATTAAAGGAGATTGAACTTTTTATAATCATATATTTTGGAAGGACTCGGACCTGATCGCCGTTCAAGCGATTAATGAGCGTTACACAAACATCAGCAGCCCTGACCCCAACCTTTTGAGTCAGCGAGGCGAACATGGTGGCCTCCATTTCGATGTTGCATATGCCCTTCTTTTGGCATTCCTTCAGGAATGCCATCTTTTCATCATCGCTGTATTCACACACAGCGCCATCAGTGCGTCCTTGACCTGCATAGATCAAATAAAGTTCAATAAAGTTTGTCGTCATTTCAAGTGGGCAGCACTTACCCTCATAGAAACAATCGGTGGACATTGTGTTGGCAATTATGGTATTGAAGCCATCGTCAGATTTGGCGCCATATTTTAGGATCTCCTGGCAAAGTGTGTCTGGGAAACTAGCGGGTCGCACCACACGCTTTCCCAGAATGGGCTAGCCAGACGAGAGAAATGTAACAAGAAATCATTAACTGTGAGAGCAGGTACTCCGTTACGCGAACACTTACAATCTCATGTTCGTTTTTTAAGTAACCATTATACGCATCCTTGGTGATTACAACGGTGCCCGGTTCAACGCCTACGCCGCCACATGTGCCAATGCGTATGAATACGGGATCCTGACACTTGGCATACTTGACCAGCTTCAGCAGCTCGTGCAGCACCACCGAGAACGTTGAGGAGCCGACACCATGGCTGACGCATAAGACGGGGCCCACCTTGTAGACAGCATAGCGTTGTCCACTTTCGCATAGATCAACTGGTTCGCTGTCGTCCTTTATGCCCAATATGGGACGCAAATAAATAGCCAACTCTCGCATACGCTTAGAAGTGCCACCAGCGCATACGGCCTAATTAGGGGAAGGATTATAAATATTCAGCAATTCAATTTATTCGAAATTCTCACGCACGACAATATCGCCGAATTGTTTTTGAATAACGCTTGTATCCGCTGTATTGGGCACATTGATGTTCAGATGGTATAGAAAATCAGAGGGCATCTTATTGAGATGGGGATTTTTCAGATTTACGCTGTGGGTAAAATACTTAAAGCTCGCATGCACTTTGGCACGTAACGCAATGTTCACTTACCCTTTTAACATTCTGTGCTAGGTACTAGATAACGCTATAAATAATTTCCAGATAATAATGTCATTTTGTTTTTATTAGTAAAGACTGACTGCTTATAAGTATACCATTAAATAATGTTTTATAACTACCCTGTCTAAGTGGCCCGTAAAATATTTAACTTTCATTTCACCTATCGGAATAGATTTTCCGTAGTTTGATTGGATGAAAAACAAAATGATTTAATGAACCTCATTATTCGACCGATTCTTTCCATAGAGCTATAATAAAAATTAGTTATATCTCGATGAGACTTAGCTCATATAATGACAGCATAGTAAATACATTAACTTCAAAATGCGGCTCTAACTGGTGAAGCTTACCGATACAAGAGCAGTCCCTGTATAGCGATAACGCTCGACGAATGCCTCAGATATTTTTGCAATGATTGCATTTATGCGCTTTTTACTGCTTCTCAGAATAACAACACAAACCCCTTTTCTTATTACAAGCACTCATTTATCTGTGTAAATATATGTATGCATATATGCTTTGGTGTGTGACTCGTTGCATTGGCGAATGAAAAACAGAAGTGCAACATGTGTGAATTGTTTACGAATTTTATAACCACTTGCAAATGTAAATAATTTATTGAAATTCTGAGGAATTTCAATACTTGCAATGCAATGTAACTAGGGGATACTCTGAATTCTCTTCTTCCAACATAAAATACATGAATATATTCTATTTTAGAAGCAACATATCATTTTTGGTGACTCTAGCTCTTATTATTTACCAAAATTGTCCAAAAAACAGGATATTATTTATTACAGTAAGTTATCGATTATCGAAAACTCGATCTGCGCAGGCACTAGGAGCACCTACATCTAAAATTTCAGTCTATAGCTCTTATATGTTCTGAGATCCTTGAGTTCATACATACGGACGGACGGACGGACAGACAGACGGACGGACGAACAGACAGACGGACATGGCTAGATCGACTCGGCTATTGGTGCTGATCAAGAATATATATACTTTATGGGGTCGGAAATGCTTCCTTCTGCCTGTTACATACATTTGGATTTTGCACAAATACAATATATATTTTTAATGGGTTCAGGGTATAAAAAAAAGTTCCCTCAATTTGGGAGATAAACAATGTAAACGAGCGAACTATTTGCCACCGCTTCAACTTAACAGCCAGACCAGCGACCCAATCATGGTCAATGAATACATAATACAATTGTAGTGTTGCTTATAGAATTTAAATTGACGCGCATGAACATGTGTAAACGCATTCAGAATTTATTGGAATAAGCGTAAGCTGTTGCAAACAAATGGACTTCTACAACTGCTGTTTTTTATCCGAACTTGAACTTGAACTACAGTCGCAAAACGTCAGTAAGATTATTGTTAGTTAAGATTTTGTCTTAAATTGGTGGACAGTTCTAATTGATTTACTTATTTGAATTTTCTTAAACAAAATTTTGATATTAGTGTTTATAAATAGCTTTTAAACGCGGCACGTTTCCGATTCTCGGAAACAAATTTATACGGACGAACAGACGGACTCGAACTAGAATATATGTATATACGTACATTACATTACATTTGCACAAAGACAATTAACCCACTTTGTCCATTTTTGATAGGTTCAGGGTATAATAAACATATTCGTATTCTAATGAAGGACCACTTTCAAGAACCGTCCGTGTGAAAGGGCTTAGGCTGGGACGTAGAACAAAACAACATATATGACAGATGTGCAATGCTATTTAATAGTCAGCATTCTTTCATGCTTTGCAGTAAAGCAAAAAAATAACTTACACTAGCTAGCCGAAGGGCAAAAAATTAGCACGCAACAACAATTTATCACGAACCTACATATACATACATCTTATCTACAAAACTTTATATACACATTTTTATATTTATATTTATAAATTTAAACGAGTAAGATAGATCTAGTCGAAAGTGCCCGACTACGCCTTACACAATAAGATATTATTTTGTGATAGAATTCGGTGCCTATTGTCCGATCATTATGAAATTGCTTGTAAATAAATCTAAATATATGTAAATACCAAACACCACGGTCACAGTTCTACAAATTAGTTTATTAAAATGTTGAAGGGAACGGCTAACGTATTCAAAAAGTGAAATATTCGAAATATGGTTCAAGACTTGGTGTTACAAGCTCTTGAGTGATTCGCGCGGGCTCACACATTCAACTAGATCGGCTCGGTTGCCTCGGTTGTCACAACTACTTATATTACCTGTTCTACCCACTTTCAATGTGTTCAGGTGATAAAACTACACTAACATTTCTACATACACTTTTGCACGCTTTAATCTTTCCGCTATACGTTGTGATCGCTACGACGTCGCTTTAAATACTGAAGTATACATTTCGGATTGATCGGCTACAGGTTTCATTTTTTTCTCTCGCGTTCTCTCTCTCTCTCTCTCTCTCTCTCGCATATAGGGATGCTGCGAAGTTGACTTCGCTTATGTACTTGAAACTGGTTGTCATAAGAAAAAAAGAAAACAGTTTACTAAAAACTAAATAAGCAAAGGAGTACATTGTACAGTTAGTGTTGACGATTAGTTCTGATCGCCACTGCAATCACATGTATAAGAACTGTCTTCAGCCGGGGGCTCTCCGTACATCGCCTTCCGTATGTAGCGAGCGATTAGTATTTGAGGTCTTGTGTCGTAATCTTTGAGTCTCGCTGGTGGTGCGTCTATCTGCAATAAGCCAAGAAGTCAATGATCGGTGTCAGCGACCGGGCATAGATTAGACAAACCTGGTCGCCCTCCATGCGATTGAGTAGGGTCACACAGACGACAGCGGCCCGAATATTGGCCTGACTTGTGAGGCTTGCGAATGCGGTGCTCTCCATTTCGATATTGACAACTCCACTCTGAGACAATTTCTCTAGGAATGCCAATAATGTTAATATGTGCAATAATGTTAATGTTATCCAGGACTGGACAAATGACATCAAGAACAAGGACAGCGCGCTAAATGAGCTCAAAGAGGAATCGGCTGAGTTGGCAACGGATCTGCCACCCGTGCGAAAGCCATGCAAAATAGAAATTGACAAGGAGGAGAGTGAGACCCAAAATGCTGGACAAGTGCCTAAGCCGAACGCAAAGCCGCAGTTGAAATCAACAAATGAAGAGCGCATCAAATCTACCGATTACAGTAAATGGGACAAGTACGATCCAGATGAGGAAATCTTGCGCATGGATTTGGAAGAGGAACGTTCAAAAGAGCAAGCAAAAATAAAGTTACGCAAAACCGAGACAACAACAACAAAAGAGGAGCACATTAAAATTTGTGAAAAGGGCGCCGAGGAGCAGCGTCTGCAGGCTCAGCTCAAGAAACTAAGTCAAATCGAGCGCGAGCAATATGCCGAGAAGTGAGTAGTGTCCAGTTCTTTATGCAGATGTATCGATATATACATCTTATGCGGCACAGATATCGTCTGCGGGGCAACGAGTACTTTAAGGCCAAGGAGTATGACAATGCCATTGAGGAGTATACACTAGCTATAGTTTACGATCCGGCACAAGCTGCACGCGCCTACAACAATCGCGCCGTATCCTGTGAGTAGTCACGTACCTATACCTATACATATATATATATATATATATATATATATATATATACTAATATTTCTGATTTATCAACAGACTTGAAGAAGAAAAACTATTTGCCAGCTATAGATGATTGCGAAGCCTGCCTCCGGCTCGAGCCCGACAATGTGAAGGCACTTCTACGTTTGGCCGATGCCAACTATGGCCAGGGACGTCGTCGCGAGGTTTGTAGCCATTTTAATGCAAACATTATATATCCTGACTTATCTTCTGCCAGTCCTATGGCTTCTATCAACGTGTACTGGCTCTGGAGCCCAATAATATAAGTGCTAAAAAGGCGCTGGACGAATTGCGTCAACAGTTGGGCGAACTGGCTCCTGCACATGCTACACGTATGATCATTGAGGAGCTCCAATCGGAGAAAGCCGCAGCTGACAATAAGCCCAAGACACAGGCACAGCCAAAGCCACAGCCAAAGCAAGTGCAGTCGGAGAAGCCGCCCAAGGATTATGATCTGGCCGAGCTGGTCAAGCCAAATCGGGTCATTAAAAGTAAAATAGCTTGTGCTGCCGAAGCACTAGGAGGCACACTGAAAACCAGAAATCCCGTTGCCAGCGCCCAAAAGCAACAGCTGCAGCAGATGATGCAAGAGGTGTCCACAGCGCAGGCGGAGCTGCGTCTGCCGCAGAGTAACAAGAGTGGCAATAACAACAACAAGCTCTTAATACAGGAAATACAATGAGACAATCATAAACATATGACATTTATTGATTTCAATTTAATAATAAATGCTGTATATAACGTCCAACAATAGAAAATGGGCGCTGCTCAAATGTTTCCTTTTCGTGCATTGTAATGGACACCTGTGAAAAAATTATGCGCAGAAACAGATTAAAGGAGATTGAACTTTTTATAATCATATATTTTGGAAGGACTCGGACCTGATCGCCGTTCAAGCGATTAATGAGCGTTACACAAACATCAGCAGCCCTGACCCCAACCTTTTGAGTCAGCGAGGCGAACATGGTGGCCTCCATTTCGATGTTGCATATGCCCTTCTTTTGGCATTCCTTCAGGAATGCCATCTTTTCATCATCGCTGTATTCACACACAGCGCCATCAGTGCGTCCTTGACCTGCATAGATCAAATAAAGTTCAATAAAGTTTGTCGTCATTTCAAGTGGGCAGCACTTACCCTCATAGAAACAATCGGTGGACATTGTGTTGGCAATTATGGTATTGAAGCCATCGTCAGATTTGGCGCCATATTTTAGGATCTCCTGGCAAAGTGTGTCTGGGAAACTAGCGGGTCGCACCACACGCTTTCCCAGAATGGGCTAGCCAGACGAGAGAAATGTAACAAGAAATCATTAACTGTGAGAGCAGGTACTCCGTTACGCGAACACTTACAATCTCATGTTCGTTTTTTAAGTAACCATTATACGCATCCTTGGTGATTACAACGGTGCCCGGTTCAACGCCTACGCCGCCACATGTGCCAATGCGTATGAATACGGGATCCTGACACTTGGCATACTTGACCAGCTTCAGCAGCTCGTGCAGCACCACCGAGAACGTTGAGGAGCCGACACCATGGCTGACGCATAAGACGGGGCCCACCTTGTAGACAGCATAGCGTTGTCCACTTTCGCATAGATCAACTGGTTCGCTGTCGTCCTTTATGCCCAATATGGGACGCAAATAAATAGCCAACTCTCGCATACGCTTAGAAGTGCCACCAGCGCATACGGCCTAATTAGGGGAAGGATTATAAATATTCAGCAATTCAATTTATTCGAAATTCTCACGCACGACAATATCGCCGAATTGTTTTTGAATAACGCTTGTATCCGCTGTATTGGGCACATTGATGTTCAGATGGTATAGAAAATCAGAGGGCATCTTATTGAGATGGGGATTTTTCAGATTTACGCTGTGGGTAAAATACTTAAAGCTCGCATGCACTTTGGCACGTAACGCAATGTTCACTTACCCTTTTAACATTCTGTGCTAGGTACTAGATAACGCTATAAATAATTTCCAGATAATAATGTCATTTTGTTTTTATTAGTAAAGACTGACTGCTTATAAGTATACCATTAAATAATGTTTTATAACTACCCTGTCTAAGTGGCCCGTAAAATATTTAACTTTCATTTCACCTATCGGAATAGATTTTCCGTAGTTTGATTGGATGAAAAACAAAATGATTTAATGAACCTCATTATTCGACCGATTCTTTCCATAGAGCTATAATAAAAATTAGTTATATCTCGATGAGACTTAGCTCATATAATGACAGCATAGTAAATGCCGAGTTTTGTCTAGGTATATTTAAAACTGATGGAAGGCGTCTGATATATTATATTATATTATATCTTTATATTACTCGACATTAACTTCAAAATGCGGCTCTAACTGGTGAAGCTTACCGATACAAGAGCAGTCCCTGTATAGCGATAACGCTCGACGAATGCCTCAGATATTTTTGCAATGATTGCATTTATGCGCTTTTTACTGCTTCTCAGAAAAACAACACAAACCCCTTTTCTTATTACAAGCACTCATTTTTCTGTGTAAATATATGTATGCATACATGCTTTGGTGTGTGACTCGTTGCATTGGCGAATGAAAAACAGAATTGCAACATGTGAGAATTGTTTACGAATTTTATAACCACTTGCAAATGTAAATAATTTATTGAAATTCTGAGGAATTTCAATACTTGCAATGCAATGTAACTAGGGGATACCCTGAATTCTCTTCTTCCAACATAAAATACATGAATATATTCTATTTTAGAAGCAACATATCATTTTTGGTGACTCTAGCTCTTATTATTTACCAAAATTGTCCAAAAAACAGGATATTATTTATTACAGTAAGTTATCGATTATCGAAAACTCGATCTGCGCAGGCACTAGGAGCACCTACATCTAAAATTTCAGTCTATAGCTCTTATATGTTCTGAGATCCTTGCGTTCATATATACGGACGGACGGACGGACAGACAGACGGACGGACGAACAGACAGACGGACATGGCTAGATCGACTCGGCTATTGGTGCTGATCAAGAATATATATACTTTATGGGGTCGGAAATGCTTCCTTCTGCCTGTTACATACATTTGGTATTTGCACAAATACAATATATATTTTTAATGGGTTCAGGGTATAAAAAAAGTTCCCTCAATTTGGGAGATAAACAATGTAAGCGAGCGAACTATTTGCCACCGCTTCAACTTAACAGCCAGACCAGCGACCCAATCATGGTCAATGAATACATAATACAATTGTAGTGTTGCTTATAGAATTTAAATTGACGCGCATGAACATGTGTAAACGCATTCAGAATTTATTGGAATAAGCGTAAGCTGTTGCAAACAAATGGACTTCTACAACTGCTGTTTTTTATCCGAACTTGAACTTGAACTACAGTCGCAAAACGTCAGTAAGATTATTGTTAGTTAAGATTTTGTCTTAAATTGGTGGACAGTTCTAATTGATTTACTTATTTGAATTTTCTTAAACAAAATTTTGATATTAGTGTTTATAAATAGCTTTTAAACGCGGCACGTTTCCGATTCTCGGAAACAAATTTATACGGACGAACAGACGGACTCGAACTAGAATATATGTATATACGTACATTACATTACATTTGCACAAAGACAATTAACCCACTTTGTCCATTTTTGATAGGTTCAGGGTATAATAAACATATTCGTATTCTAATGAAGGACCACTTTCAAGAACCGTCCGTGTGAAAGGGCTTAGGCTGGGACGTAGAACAAAACAACATATATGACAGATGTGCAATGCTATTTAATAGTCAGCATTCTTTCATGCTTTGCAGTAAAGCAAAAAAATAACTTACACTAGCTAGCCGAAGGGCAAAAAATTAGCACGCAACAACAATTTATCACGAACCTACATATACATACATCTTATCTACAAAACTTTATATACACATTTTTATATTTATATTTATAAATTTAAACGAGTAAGATAGATCTAGTCGAAAGTGCCCGACTACGCCTTACACAATAAGATATTATTTTGTGATAGAATTCGGTGCCTATTGTCCGATCATTATGAAATTGCTTGTAAATAAATCTAAATATATGTAAATACCAAACACCACGGTCACAGTTCTACAAATTAGTTTATTAAAATGTTGAAGGGAACGGCTAACGTATTCAAAAAGTGAAATATTCGAAATATGGTTCAAGACTTGGTGTTACAAGCTCTTGAGTGATTCGCGCGGGCTCACACATTCAACTAGATCGGCTCGGTTGCCTCGGTTGTCACAACTACTTATATTACCTGTTCTACCCACTTTCAATGTGTTCAGGTGATAAAACTACACTAACATTTCTACATACACTTTTGCACGCTTTAATCTTTCCGCTATACGTTGTGATCGCTACGACGTCGCTTTAAATACTGAAGTATACATTTCGGATTGATCGGCTACAGGTTTCATTTTTTTCTCTCGCGTTCTCTCTCTCTCTCTCTCTCTCTCTCGCATATAGGGATGCTGCGAAGTTGACTTCGCTTATGTACTTGAAACTGGTTGTCATAAGAAAAAAAGAAAACATTTTACTAAAAACTAAATAAACATAGGAGTACATTGTACAGTTAGTGTTGACGATTAGTTCTGATCGCCACTGCAATCACATGTATAAGAACTGTCTTCAGCCGGGGGCTCTCCGTACATCGCCTTCCGTATGTAGCGAGCGATTAGTATTTGAGGTCTTGTGTCGTAATCTTTGAGTCTCGCTGGTGGTGCGTCTATCTGCAATAAGCCAAGAAGTCAATGATCGGTGTCAGCGACCGGGCATAGATTAGACAAACCTGGTCGCCCTCCATGCGATTGAGTAGGGTCACACAGACGACAGCGGCACGAATATTGGCCTGACTTGTGAGGCTTGCGAATGCGGTGCTCTCCATTTCGATATTGACAACTCCACTCTGAGACAATTTCTCTAGGAATGCCATCTTTTTCTCTGGTGTGTAATCGCAAAAGGCACCATCTAGACGTGATTGTCCCTCATAGAAATCATTTGTACAAAGCGTTTTGCCCAAGACAGTGTCATAGCCATCTCCACAGGGATTAGATAGCGATCTAAGCGTCTTGGCCAAGTCCTGGTCCAGTGTGGTGGGCCGTAGCTGCGGCTGTGTCTGAACGACCACCTCGTGCACAGGACGCAATTGGCCATCCAGAGCCTCTGAAGTAATCACCACGGTGCCAGGCTCAACGGTAATGCCGCCACTGGTGCCCATGCGAAAGAAGACAGGATCCTGACACTTGGCATGGAACACGAGCTTGATGAGCTCGTGCAATACTATGCTGATTGAGGGCCCGCCAATGCCATGGCTGGCGCACAGCACTGGCCCAACTTTGTACAAGGCGTATCGATGGCCTTCCGCGGAAATGTTTTTTAGCTGAACGCTCTGGCTCATCTTAAGTCCAATCTCTTTCATGATGTAATTGGCGAATTTCTCCATGCGCGATTCCGTGCCGCCCAAGCATACGAACTGTGGTCATGACAGTTGATATATAAGCAAGTAAATTATGCTCTCTTGCTTTTTAGCATTAATAAAAAATAAACAAGAGGTTCTAGTCGGGAGCTCCCGACTAGGGGATACCCTGAACCCTTTTCTTCCAACATCAAATACATATATATATTCTATTATTTACCAAAATTGACCAACATATAGGATATCGTTATCGATTTTTATCGATTGCTTAGAAACTAAATTATCGATTATCGAAAACAGGAACTGGGACCACCTACATCTAAAATTTCAAGTCTAGCTCTTATAGGTTCGGAGATCCTTGCGTTCATACATACGGACGGACGGACGGACATGGGTAGATCGACTCGGCTATTGATGCTGATCAAGTATATATATACTTTATGGGGTCGGAGATGCTTCCTTCTGCCTGTTTCATACATTTGGATTTTGCACAAATACAATATACCCTTATACCCATTTTAAATGGGTTCAGGGTATAAAAACAAAAATGAATTTCGCCCCTTCCTAGCAGGAGTGGGGATTTCTAGTTTAATTTACTGGCCGTGAACTAAATCGGTCATTTAGTTCACTCGTTCAGCTATTCAGTCGGTCATGAACTAACCAAACAACATATAGACTGGACATCGCATAGGATAAACGTTGGCACAAAAAGTATCGGAGGCATCTGGTCCAAAATTGCGAGTAAGGGCGTAAGATATACATATGATGTATTTTTTAACCGCTTACACTAAAGGAAAGTGCTTGGCGCACTCTCTTCCATATGATTTGGACGATAGAACGGCAACGCTGTTAATTTTTATCTCGCTTGCACTTAATCTCAGCTCTCAATGCTCTCTCCTTATGTTAAAAATTATTATTAAATTCGTACAACTGTATTACATAACTGCCATAGAAATATATTTAAAATATATGAGCCGATTTGTAAAGTCACTCTCTAAAAATGCGCTCTTTCCATTCAGTTTCGAGAATCGACGGAGTTTTTCAAATATGCACCGATGTTTTACGTTGTCGAAGCATCGATACTTAGCATTTGTAATGTGCTTACATTCACAGTACTCTCATTAGGGATGTGCATTTCATGCCAAACGTCACGAACAATCGCACAAAACTAAACTAAATCTGCACATCACTAAGCAGCTGACTTAAAAATGTAAGCAAGGGCTGGTGACAAAACGATGCAAAAATAAAGCTAACAATATTTGCTAACACAAAATCGGATATCAATCGGCGGCTTCCTTGTTGTTGCCCTTGCACTCAAATCTATTCTGTGGTGCTGATAAATTACTTTTCTATCAGCAACAATAATAACGGAAACATTCCCCTCCCTAACGTCAACAACTTTCATGCCGGATATTCAGTTTTTCCACCAGGTGCGTATAGTTGAGCGCATTCTTAAAAATAAGAGAAACAAATATTTCCTAAACTACTATTCACAGTTAGAGCAACTGGCTCACGTAAATATGGGGTGAATATAATTCTGAAAAGTTTTGCACACTTCTAAAAGTTACCTTACTCTATCTATGGGAGCGCAGAATGTAAACATTAACATTGTCAATGTTTTATTCTAATGCATCGATGTTGAGCTTTGATTTTCACCGGCAAATGGATGAACATTTACATTTCATCATCAACAATGATGCAAAAGGCTAATTCAGCAATTTTTAGTATCGAAGCAGTAGTTGGCAACCCTACCAACAAGCATTACTTATCTTAACTTACGCGCACATCTCCGAACACCTTCGGAAAATCAGTTGTTACTGTGTCCAAGTTAAGATGGTATAAAATATCCGGATTAAGGCATTCGATGTAGGGGTTCATGTTGCCTAGAGTGGACTCCAACTCTTGCGGTTCTTCTGGGTTGCAACCATCCTTGATGTGTTTTATGAGTTCATCAATGCGTTTATTTTGTGATTTAACCATGGCTGTATAGCTGCGTTATAAGGATGACCCACAGGACTAAAATTTGCTCACCTTTCAGTTCGCAGACATCTTTTTCGATATCTTTACTACATTTGGTCGTCATTCTTTCAAGCTTTTAAGTGAATTTGCTTTAAATTTAGTCCGAAAAAGAATTTGGAATAGCTGAAATATATTTAGAATTTAGAAAAGTTTTGTATTTGAGTAAATTCTCACAACAAGAATTTAAGGATACATATTTCATAGATCTTGACAAAGTTTAAGCTCTTAAAAAAGGCTGATTACCAAATGAAAACAAAGATCGAGAAATAATGATGACCCGTCTGTCGGAAGAGTTTTATATAGATAATAATACTTTATACGAACTACAGCATCAATCTTAAGAGAATCAAGGCAGGTGTGTCGCAAGTCTCTGTGCCCCGTGTCGTACAACCAGAGCCAGAAGCTTGAAAGGGCTCCACAAGATTGAATGACTGCTGCAAGGCACTCCTTATCAAAATGATGTACCCACACCGGCCAATCCTGAGGCACAGCATCAGCACAACAGCTTCATTGAAAAAGGGTAGTTTAAACTAAGGCAACGCGTAAGGTAGCCGGCATCCCATGGTGCGGTGCCATCGATGCCATCGAAGTCGGTCTCCGCCTAACAAAGATCGGAAATCATCTCAACTTCTTCAGTAGCCGCTTTGACTGGCCCTACTACAGAGAGGCGCTTGCTAAAGATATACCTGCGATGTACTTACTAGGGCAATCGATTAAATCCCTTACTTATCAGTCTATGTCCACAAACGTTTCATAGTAAATATCCCATGATTGTATATAAAACTAACTATGCCCTTGTTATCATAGTCCTGCGTTTGATCAAATCCAGAGCACAATATGACGACAAAGCAAACAATCATTAATTTTTGAAATACATTTTGCTTTTAATATACCAATTACTTTCATAAAATGTTTGTGATTTCATTTAAACCGATTTTATATTTGCTTCAGCTGAATTTTTACGTGTACAACTTGATTTTTAATTTTTTTGGTTTTTTTTTTTTTTTTTGGAATTGAATAAGAGCAACTTTTGTTAATATAGCGTATGATTAGCAACATGCGAATCCGCACAACAATTGTTTTTGGAATTACAGCACAATATGTGTAATAGAATAATTTACGAAATTTTATATTACGATTTGAAATACATATAATTAATATTTGGTTTGCCTCATTTGGAATATGCAACATAACGATTAACAATTTTTTTTTTTTGCATTTTATTTATTACCAAAGTTGCAATTAGCGATGCGATTAACAACAATTTGATTTAGTTTATATTGAAACACAACGTCACATTGAGTTTGTTATTATTTATAATATGTTAATATTTAGTTTGGATAAGTTCTTTCAGCTTTAAGCGTTAATACGCCAATACCTGCAATATGCTTGTCTTTAAATAAGCTAATGAGGAAGTGGATATACGTATATAGTACATAGATACACATATGGGGAAATAAAATAAGAACTTAAAGTGAATTAAACTATGGAGTGTTTAAAGGAATATTTGTATACATGAGAGTTGGTTTGACATATGAGTCAAAAGGTAACTTGAAATCATATATCCGATGTATATGCAATGATCTTTTGTATTTGGCTGCTAGCTCTAATCATGGGCCTGTGATTCCTGCTGTACCAGCTTGAAGCGCCTCGGCGACTTTATGGATCCATGATGCCCGAACAGCGACTTCAGTTGGCCATGCTGGGCGAGCACCTTGCGTATATACCTGGAGACGAGTATCTGTGGACGCTGTTGCCACTCATTTATAACCTCTTTGGGCGCATTGACCTGGTCCCCATTTAGGCGATTCAGGAGCACAACGCAAACAACGGCTGCTTTGATGCCCGCATGATGTGTTAGCGCTGCGAAGATGGTGCTCTCCATTTCGATGTTGACGACGCCGTTGTCGCGCAGCTTCTCCAGATAGTTCATCTTATCGGTTTCGGTAAACTCACAGAAGGCGCCATCCAGACGTCCTTGACCCTCATAGAAGTCATTTGTGCACAGCGTCTTGCCAATGATGGTGTCATAGGGATCATCGGCACTGGCTAGCGATTTCAGTTCACGTGCCAGCTTCTTATCCAGCTTAGCCGGGCGATGCACAGTCTCGCCCAGAATTGTCTATCAATTAATATTGACAATTATCAGAAATAAATAAGCAGAAACTCCAAAACAACAACCACTTACAAACTCGTGAGAGTTGCGCAAATGCCCATCCAAAGCATCTTCAGTGATGATGACGGTGCCGCCGTCGACGCCAATGCCGCCACAGGTGCCGATGCGTATGAATATGGGATCAATGCATTTGGCATGGTACATCAGCTTGATAACCTCGTGCATCAGTATGCTAATCGAGGGGGTGCCCATGCCGTGACTGACGCATAGCACCGGACCGACTTTGTACATGGAATAGCGGTACGAAAACTCGCTAATATCCTGCAGCTGTGTTCCAGCGGGCAGCTTATAGCCGATCTCATCCATAATGAAATGTGCGAAGTTCTCCATGCGCTTTGGTGTGCCGCCCATGCAAACGAACTGGTTGTGAACGTATTGAAAGAGCAAAATATGAATTACCGTTTAAAAAATTTAAATAATAATATGAAAAAATAAAAATATAACAACTTGATTTTCATTATCAAGGGCAATTAACATGGCTTATAAGCTGAATCGATAATGGATATTAAGTTAAGACTGGAAATGGCAAACTTGTTTTTTTTTTTCGACCTCTCACTTGCGTAATCTGATCTGGTTTAGTTGTATACCACTAATTAGCGTGTTTAGAATGCAAAGTATTCTTAGCCCATAGTATTTATGATAATGGTGACTACGAGGCATTCTGCTCAATCAAATGTCTGTTAACCTTGACATAACTTTGAGCAAAGCATATACATTTCAAATACTTTTTTATTATTAGAAGTCTTAAGAACGAAACGTTAAAAGATCAGAGTTGAATGCTCACCTTAACATCGCCAAACATTTCCCTCAGATCGTGACTCTCGCTACCCAGCGCTACGTGATATAAGATATCCTGATCCATAAGTTCAATATTAGGGTTGCGTAATTTAACTGTGCCATCGGCGTATCTGTAAGCAATAAGCGCAATGTCAACAACTGTATAATAATTTAAATATATGTACATACATTTGTTTTTAATAGAATGTGCATTCATCAATAATAAAAATAATCTTAATTTAAAATGTTTCACAATCAATTGGAATCAGTTATTAATAAAGTGCATTCGTAAACATGTATAGACGGAAAATATAGTGAACGTCAGTTGGTTTCCCGATAAGATTGTTATTTTCGAGAATTGTGAATTCCAAGAATTGGTAGTTTAGTAATACATGTATGTATTTGAATTGATCGAAACAGGTGGTCTGACTTATACTATGTACGAAAATTCAAAGATAACAAATATTCAAATACTTGGCTTTATTCGCATTCAATGAAGCAAATGGTATTAGTTACAAAATGATATTATCAGTAGCCTACATAACCGAAGTCTAAATACTCTAGCTTAAGTAGCGTCTAACTGTGAACAGCAAAACAATCATCGCATTAAGTTAATTTCAACCCTTTTACAAATTATTAGGCTGAAAATTATTAGAAAATTTCAGAGTACATAATGTCAACCGAATGTAAAGACCAAACTATACTATTTGAATGGGGGTATCCAAAAAGAAAACAGTTCTGGATATCCTGTATACAAAATATGGTTAAAAAACAAACAGCATGTCGATATCTGATCCTCATATTTAGTTGACTATTTCGATAAACAATTTCCCTTTTATAGAAGAGATACATATACATATATATATTCCATATGCCTGGATCAGTATAATAACACAACTTTAAGCGAAACCTTAAAAGCTCTGTCGTTCACACAAAATGATTAGAAATAATATAATTATACTTTAAATTTGCACAAGTTCAATTTACCTTCTTTTGTTACTTATTTTCAATGAGTTCAGGGTATATAAATAAAAAACCATATAGTATAACCGTTTTTCGTCCATCTGGATGTTAATTTCCAAAAGGACGCAAATTTAAGTAGCCAAAAGAAAGTACCATATTCCATTTTATTTGCACATATATGATGGATGGGTGCATGAATGTAAATTGATACGAACCCAGCATTTATATATGCGTAGGCCGAAGCACAGCCCCAAAAATTGTACGCGTCATTTGATTAGCCTTATCAGCCAGCTAACAAAATATTTGAATAGCTAAAAAGAGCTGAATATATAGATTTTAATATGCTGAGGTGTTTGTATATGTTCGTTTCATGTAAATATGTATTAACCTTGATAGCAACATTTTAAAAATGATTAGATTTTTGTGAAACATCTGATCCATAAATTAGCTAGGTTCATAGATCCAGAGGTGTCAAGTTTATCAACAAATTTCGCCAAATCATTCAACAAATGAAATCTGAGAGCTTAATAACTGTCAAAACACAAAAAACAGCAGGGGCTCTAGAGGTCTGTGTTCGGTTCTAGGTGTAGGTCTAGGTCTAGATATCGAAACGACACACCCACTTCACTGAATGTTTGCAGGTGTGTGGGTATTTGTTCAAGTGCTTCTGCAATCTATTTACTTCATTTCGTACATCTTATCAGAACCGTGTCGAGCTACTTCAAGGTGCCGGCAGTCTTTTTACGGCCAACCAACTTAATCAGTCCCCCTATGTTCCGGCAAGTGCCTGTGTACCTTGGACACCGCTTTATAATCGGAAGCCACATCAAATTCCAGAAACAATTGGTGACTCTACAGTGTGTCAGACCCTAAAGGAAACTCGCTGAACTCTTCGGACAGCCGACATATTAACCTACTCATATCCTGAATACTGTGTACGTTCTGGGAATACCCTCTCAGAGGCATATATCCAGCTTTCTTAAAAAGCACACATCACAAGCAAACAGTTAGATTGGCTATTGAGAAGCAGATTTAGTCATGGTCGCCTATATGTCCGGCTGAGAGTCTGTCCGTCCGTATGTATGAATGCGTTGAGCTCATGTCCTATAAGAGCGGCACACTTGAAGTTTTATTCAGAGGTCCCTCGTCGGACACTGCTGACTAGAGAAATTTTACTTGTTATTATTTAGTTTTGTGCTTGTCGCGCATTTTAGGTGAGTTGCCAACCGCGCAGCGTCACAGACTTTTGCGTCAGCTGCCAACTCAGCTATATACAAACTTGTATATGTATTTGCGAAATACGCTAGCCTAAGACAAACTTCCCGCCAATAACAACAACTGCAACCCTCGGGAATGGCAACGGCAGCTGTCTATATGCATTCCTTTTGGACCGGTTTGTCGGTTTGTTGTATTCTTACCGCGTTTTGCTACGCATATGTACATCCGTCTCATCCTCATCGTCCTTTGGCGTGGTACGGCAGTGTGCCTTAAATTCATGCGCCTGAATTGTGGGTGGCATGATGTCAGACTTAGATTGTCCTTGAAGTGTATCCTAGTACATCATACGACAGCTGCGTCAGCTGCCTAAATATATCTTAACACTTAATGTTTGCGCAAGACCAAAAAAAAAAATTATAAGACAACAACAAGAAACGTATTGTATACGCCGACGGATGTCGAGAAACTAAAAAATTTGTTGAGCGCGGCAGGCTGTTATATAGGCGGCGCTTACCAACACAACTAAAGCCACAACACACACACAATAGGTTGCCTGACTGTTAATGTACATGGGCATGTTAACAGAGAGCGGCCAAAGCCACTGTTAAATGCGCATGTAAACGTTTAACATAGATAAGACTCTGACGGTTCAAATGTCAGAATAGAACGCCATTAGTTTTAGAAATATTTAAATATGACTTAGTAATGTATGTAAATTTGCTTGTTCGTTATTGTGCACTGAAAACGTGCTCTATATTACAAGGTTACCTGAATAGGCATCTATGTGCATCTTATTCGTAATTGATGGCAGTTTAAACTACATGGATTACAGCATAGCATGAATAACTCTTTTGCGTAATTTACTATGTGCAATGCAATTGTCATTTCACAATTCACTTGCAATTAAAGTGTAGCTTTTATTGAGTCTTGAATGCTTCCATTCAGAATACAGGGTGCCGCCGTGTAATGTGCCACCAGGTGCCCCAAATGTTCGCACATTCGATAGCCAGGTGTTTGAAAATGTGCAAATTTTTGTCAATGATCTTTAAAGCGTATTTCAACCGGTCTGTGATATTCAATTTGATTAGCATATTTAACTTTGATATTTCACAAAGAGTTTGCTATAAATTAAACAACATATTTATTGTTAAATTTTTAGCAGAAAGCTTTGTGGGGTTTTTGACTTAATGGGTGGTTTTTTCCATTTAACTCTAGAGCACCCTGTATGAATCTATGCTTATTTACTATCGGCATCATTCAAAACAAAGTGCTTTTTTGACATAGCAGAGAAGTGACCTGCGTCATCGCCGATGGCTTTCATTTCTTAAGCCCGCTCATAAAATATACATTAAGAAGTAAATATGTATGTGTAGAAATGTATATAGCACGCTTTTAGCGAAGCATGACTAAAGGAGGCCGCCAATGCGAATACATAAACACAAACAAAACGAAAAATTATAACTTGTATATACTAAAAAGAGCAAAAACAGAGTCAATGGGCAAAGCAATATACCTGCAAAAAGGGGGCTCGACTATGCAGCTAGACTCAAGCAAAACAGAGTTAGAGAGAGAGTGAGAGAGAGTGAGAGAGAGAGAGCGAGAGAGAGAGAGCGGGCAAGAGTGAACCAGCAAGACTACATAAGTTGCGGACACAGCTACGTGACAGCTCGCGGCCAATTTTGGAGGTCGTCAACAAAAGTATTAACTTTGAAAGGTGCCCGCATATGCTCTTTAGGTAACGTGTAATCACCTATTAACTGATTCATTAACCTGGCTGTACTTGCAAGACGCAACTGCATTATTTTGCAATCTAATCAAAAGGTCTGTCTGGGTACTTAACAGTGTGTTGAAAGCCAAATTAAAGGTATTTAGACAAAACTTGAAATATTGCACCTGCAAGTATGAATGAAACAAATTAGACAATGCCTTTTTGATTGCTCTTCAACTTTCTATTGACGCTCTTCGGAGAAAACTTATGCAAGTTTTGTGGCAACAAGGGGACCATTGATTCGCTATAAACCATTTCAAAAGCCAGTAACTTTTAAATTTCCTGATAAATTGTACACTTCGATATAACAATAGGCGATGCATGTAGGTCAGCGGTAAACTGTTTGTAAATTGTTAAAGTGAAAAGTCAACTGTCAATGCAACATATACAAGTCGACTTGTACGCTTTCTCTCCCCTTTCCGATACCCAACGTAATTGTTATTTCATTTTTGCTTGCTTTGTTTGAGCAGTTGTTATGGCCGCTGCTCCTTCGAGCTGGTGAGTCATATAAATGCCTGGCCTTGAATTATATGCGTAGGAGGTGTATGGGAATACATACATGCAAACCTTACACACACGCACACCACACACATGCTGCACTTTGCTCCCACGCAGAGCAGAGCAGCTGACAGTGATAATAAAGTACAAATTTATCATGACTCGGTTGAATAGAAATGAAAGCCTTTGCCAGCTCGTTCAGTTCTCATTTGGACTTTATGTAGGTCCCTTTGAATATCATAAATCACATCAAAATCCGTCTAAGCATTACATAATGGTGTAACATAATAAATGATTAGGGCAATGCTCTAGAATAACTAAAAGCGAACACGTTTAGCAGCACTTAAGCTTGTAATACAGCTAAAAAATGAAAAGTATTAGAAGTAGAAGATACTTTCGGAATTAATTTAGGGCATACTCTTAGGAACTTTTCGAAATTGTAAATATAAGCTGCACTTTAGCTTATCACAAGCTACCTTTCGGTACAGCTTACTAGAGCATAGAGTTCTCAATCCTTTCTCATTTTATATGATAGTCTAGGCAACCATTATCACGTAGTTGCAAAGGGTGCAGTAAAATGAAAACAGCTCAGATTAAGTAAATTAAAAATATGGTTAAGGTCAAGGGTGCAGGTTGGGTGTGTAAGCTTTGGATGAAAAATAAAAGAATATGCGCCAATAGCAAATGCTTGAGCAAAGTGATTTTAGCTCAATGTCAATGCGTCAACCAGGAGGCAAGTGTCATGTCATCCCAATCCCTTCAATAGAATTTACGTTATTCACGCGTGACTGCTGCCAAATTGAAAGCAGAATTTTGGTTGACGGGCCGATGGCCAGTGGTCAAAATTCGAATACAACGCCAAAAGGCCAATCGATAATGTTCACATTGTTCGGGCTTAAACTCATTGGCATGGGCATTGTCATTGATATTGCTTTTGTATGGCCAGCGGATTGCGGCTTAATGGGGTCTGATGAGAATCCCATAAGGATGACACTTTAAATATTTTTTTTTAGATATAGATGAATATTATAGATATTGTGTAAGTTTATGGACTCCAATATTTTCCAAATTAAAAGCCATGTATCGTTTACTTAATAATAAAACGCAATTGCTTCTTTAGTTCTAAAGCACAGTGATTTTCGTGTCCTTACAGGGTATTATTTGGTCGCATACTAAGATGTTTAACTAAGTGCGAACTACTGTGCGTATGAGCAATATAAGCGTCATTATGTTCATGTGTATGCCAATGGGCTACGACGGTTTTGAATTATCAAAGCTTGTTGAACGTTTCCCAAGCTCCCCATCCCCTATGACACACGCCGACATACATACACACGCGCACACACACAGACAGACACACACTAGTTGGCAGTAAATGCTGACAAACTTGGAGCGGAATGCTTTGTGGCATGTGTAATTTTAGATACCGACACATTATGCGCACCCTTGACAGCAGTTGAACTAATTAAGTTGACCAGTTTTGTGGCTTGGCATATTAAGTGCTTAGGCCTTAACACAATTTATGTTGGCAAGCGCCGAAAAGTATGCTAAGTATTTGTGTTCAGTCGCAATTTAACAGAAATTGTTTTGCGCTTCACCTTTACTTATTTTTGTCTTTAATGTGTTCTAGCTGCACTCTGGCCCCGCCCCTCTGGACCATGGCTAGAAACAACTAGGAGAACTTTAACTGCAGCTTGGCTGCCCCCGCCAAAAAGCCAACACAAAAGTTCAAAGTGCAAATTGTTTGCCTAAAGCTGGCACATTGTTCTTGTGCTTCTTCCTGAAAATTGACTAAACAAAAGTTCGTGCCATGCAATTTAAATTGATAGGAGCAAGTTTTACTTGCCTATTTTTTATGTCTTTTTTTTTACTCACTCATCGATTTCCTCCTCGGACAGCGAGTGACTGTTGCCCGTTAGCAGCGACATCTTGCGGTCGGCACTGTAAATAAAAATACAAGAAGAAAACTTTAGGAGAGTTTTATGTAGTATATTAGCAAAAAAAAAAAAAATAATAGAGGTGCACGTAGCGCAGGCTTGAGTCCTGACATAAACAAAACTCTGAATGACTTTTCTTGGGGGCCGGGGCAAAAGAAGAGCGTTTTGACAGCTTTTAATTAAAAAGCGACGATGCAAAGCCTCACGTGCCACGACGGTTATGACGGGCAGCGTTGTGGCATGCGTGTGTGTGTGTGAGTTTGTGTGTGTGTGTATGTTTAGGTAATTGGCAGTCGCCTGGCCGCAGTAGACCGCACAGGAGTAAAGTCCTTGAAGAATCGCACAGCTGCTGCACTAGTTTCTTGCAACTCGCGGCAAGCACTCCAAAGGCCCCAATGTTGAGATGCTTTATTTTGCGGCTCGTACTCTGCTGCATTTTGTATTAAGTCGCTGCGCAAACAAGATTTTGGTAGATTGAACACGTCCGACGTGTGCCAGGAAAAGCTTAAGCAGTCCGAAATGCGTCTAACGCGCTTAAAGTTAGGCTACAGTTTAAATTGTCAGCTTTTATACCCTGTACAGCAAGTCAAAAGCGGGAAGTTTATGCTCTAGCTAATTTTATTTGCTCTCGGAACGATTTCACAGGCTGGCATTATTTTTGACTCAGGTACTTGTTGCAGGGTATTCAACTAGTCGAGCAACTTGATACTGTGGCTGTGGCTCTTAACGTTGAGTTTTTTAGTGCTAAAGTTCAAGGCTACCATTAGCTGCTGCAAGGGACAAATGCCGGAAATTGAGTGTCGTTGACTGGCGCTATTCTGCTATTAAATATTTTGTTGATATTAAGCAAAGAGCTTTTAAACAATTTAAATAATAGTTGTTATGGGCCAACAGCAAGCGCGGTTCGAGAGCATTTTCGAATCTCAAAAATCATTGCATACTTTGCGGCGCGTGCGATTGATATTTACAATATGACTACAATTATAACTATTTTAACATGTTACATAATCTACATAATAAAATGATAGTGCTCTAGTCGGGCATGCTTGATTATGAGATACCCTAAGCCTTGCGTAAAATTCCTTTTTTGCTTAGATCAACGCGGCAGACACGTGAGCATGGATAATAGATCGACTCGGGGGTTGATGATCATGAATAGAAAGGGTAGGTATATGTTACTTTCTTTTTGTCTCTTACATACATATGCACATTTGCGACCGCACTCTTCGACCCTACTCTTTGACAAATATTTAGCTTATCATATATTGCCAACAGAGGCGGGCATATTTATTGTATTATCCTTAGCATATTCGTGGAACTGCTGACGAGGAAATCTTTTGTATGCTCGAGTGTGTGTGTGTGCATGTGTGTGTTTTTTTGTTTGCAATTCTTTTGCAGGCTGCGGGTGACCCAGTAAATAAGAACAGCCTTGAAAACGTTTGCTGAACTGTTCAATGAACAATTGCAGAGTCATCAACAATGCAAATTTCCATTTGTTGTCGTTAGCAGCTCTGCAAACTGGCGCATATTTAAAGCAGAAAAACTTTTTCAATTAATGATATAAGTGAGCCCCCACTTTTGCTGTTGGCATACGAAAACAAGTCCAGATGTTTCAGGCCATGCTCAAGGAGCAGCCCATAGAAGCAAGCCAAACCATTTTGAGGATAACGAGCTATTGATTTTCTAACGTGAAAAGTTGAGCGTTTAATCAAACAACGTGGGCAATGCTATTGTTTATCTTAACGAAGTACAATAAACATAATAAACAACAAAACAATGTTTTGCACTTACGTAAAGGTAAAAGTTGTCGAGCGTTGATTTGTTCAAAGTTGGCTGCAACAGAAAAACGCGCGTAATTCGACTTTTTCGACTGTTGTCTTTGCGTCCTGCTTCAGCTATTTGCGCTTTTGCTGCTGCTTTGTTTATTTGCTTGTCTGCTGCGGCTCACGTGCGACAACCACAACGTTACGTGTGTTAATATCAGGAGCTTTCTCTTGCTTACTCGCGTTCACTCTCTTACTCTGGCGCAAACGCACACGCACACTGTTACAATTCGCTGAGGCGTTGACGTCCGTGGCGTGGCGAAGTTCAACGTCGACTGAATGAGAGGAGAGACCAATAAAAACTCAAATGCTGTCGGCTGGCTGCAGACGCTGCGCTGCTGCCAACTGAACTCAACTCAACTTTCCACAGGAAGCTCGTTGCCATGAAACTCACTCAAACGACTCCAAATGTTAAACAATTGGTAGTGTGATTCAGCGAATTGTTTAAATTGCCGTGCGCTACGGCAAAATTTAATTATACTCAACAAACATGAACCGACAATTACCACACACACACAGACACGCACACACATAAAAAAGAAAGACAAATTACATTTTTGTTTGGCTCTGTTTTTAATTTGTGCTCAAATTTCGCTCGCTTTCGGTCACATGGCAGTTGGTATGAAAAGGGGGTGTGGCGTGTTGCCCAGTTGCTGCTCTGCCTGCTGCGTGCAACAGCTGCGCAGCGTTGCTACCACTCGTCCGTTCCCTTCTCAAAGGCCGTCCTCGCCTCAAAGTGTGTGGGGACGAGACATTAATGGTTTTTTATTCTTAAAGCGTTCCGTTTAAGTGCCAAATGTGGCGCTTATTAAATCACGCAATGAGCTACCGAAGCGTTAGCGTCCAGTCTGAGCGTCCAGGCTGCCCAGCGGCCCAATGGGCGTATACGTAATATGCGTTGCGCATACGCCGTAAGATTTAATTCAAAATTACTTCATTGCAGGCTTTATTAAACGTAGTTTAGCTGCCTTAGGAATGGAAATCGTATCTTTTGCAGCTCATAAAACCGAAAATTGTTTCATGTTTTTTATGTGCCGCGCTCATAAAAAGCATTCACGGGAATTTAATATGCATATTTGTAAATGTATGGATTTGTATTTGCATTTGTATATTTTTGCCTGGGAGTACTTATGCTGAAATGCTTTGGACTAGCAGTCGACAGCTAGATATCCTGTATTAACTTAATTCTGATATTGTTTCAAGCTCAATTTACAAATCAATAATTATGTAGAGCTACAACAAATTTCGTTTTTGTTTATTCTGTTCCAAATATCTCGCGTTGTTAACTATTGTTCATAAAAAGTACTTTCGCTTTTTTATTGCTAGTTTAGTTAGCACTTCGTATAGATTTCTTACGTGAGCTTCAGCTCCATTCGAATTCTACATTAATACTCATGAGAACAAAACACATGGCGCCTCACTAATTATCGTGCATTTGCTTTATGACGGCTTTAGCCTACTTAATTAACAGTGTGACTTTAATTTGACATTGACATTCAAATTTTTACTCAACTTTATTTTGTTTATTGCTCTATTTCTGGTTTTCTGTCGCTCTTCCGCAAACACATCCACGCCTCGCCACGCTTCAAAGGCTGCCCGACGGCCAACGACACCGTTCTGGAGCAGTACACACGATTAACGAGGGGATGGGACTAGGTACATTTATCTCGTACATGGCGTATGTATGCATAAGTACATTTAAATAGAGACATAAAATGAATCAAGATCCGGCAGCAAGTGCGATATAGAAAACAGACAGACGGAAAACTACGAATTTGTTTTGTGACAGCGCGCTAAACGAGTAAAAGCCAGACGAGCTATTTTATGCATTATATTTGGACCGATGAGAAAATACCCTAAGCTTCGAAATTGAACTTGGTTGATAAAGTAAATTTCGTCAACAATGCTTAGCTCGAAAGTTACCTAAGATCAATTTGAATTTGGAAACTTGCAAAAGCCAGTCGACATATGCCTTTAGTTGCAAATTTAACATATATTATAAGGTGACATTTTCTTAACATTTATAGATAAAAGCTTACATAATTGCCAAAACTGAACGGATGTAAACTATCCGAGCCGTACTGCATATACCCTCTACTATTTCAATAACAGACTAGACAATCTACTTTCGGTTAATGCTATCTTTACGCTGTTTCTTCAGCCCAGTTAATTTGTTATTGTTTTCGCTTTACAGCGACATCAATGAGCTCCGACAAGTGCCATGCCCACTGTGCGCTCATTACTCAAGTATGTCATCAAAAAATATAAAAAAAAAAGCGTGACGCGTAAAGAATTGCTCATACGCAACGTTGCCTCCATTTTACGCATAAGTCGGCAATAAGCAGACAACAGGCTTTAAGGATCTCGGGCATTGGGACAGCTTATGGTATTTCATTTATTATTCAGCATGTGGAATGCTTGCACGCATACAAATGGAATGTTTCCATGCACATATATATGTTGAATACGCGTGTGCATATATATTCTTAATGGGCATTTCTTGAAAATACAATAGATTCAATTAAAATCAATAAAAGGCACTGTTGAGCAGCTGCAGCTGATAATCACATGCGCATAAATGAATTTACGTCAGGACTCGATTGCCTTAGAGACACATGTGCACACAAAGCCTAGAGTCTAGATAGATACAGGCTAAATATATACTTATATATATTTACGTGTATATCCCAGTTGGGCTTGCAAGAGTGCATGACATGTCCATTCGTTAGAATAAGTGCCCACAGCTCAAACAAACAGCCGTTTCCGTTGCGGAGGATAACAACAAAAATTCGTCTGGGAACCCACAAGCCACAGCCCGCTGCTCAGCCGGCACCACACCCACATTCGTGTCCTGAAACTCCAACACCACCCAGCTGGCACCACCTGACTGCGCATCCGTTACATAACCCAAACAGTTTTAGCTTGGCCCACAAAAATTGCGCTCACTCAGCACTCTCTTTCTCTCTTTCTCTCGCTGGGATTTCTAAAATGCGCGCTCTAACATTTCAGTCGGACGCGAGTGCGTTGAACTTGGCCTCGTTTGAGCGCAGTTGGCCAAAAGTTTGAGTGAAACACTTTTGGCAGCTTCTTCGTGACAGCGCATGGGGCATGTGCCCACCGAAAATTAGTTAGGTATGTGTTTCGGCCACGCTGCGTCATCCCAGTCAAGTCTGCCCAACATTTTATCCACACACCGAGCAAGAACAACTCCCAGTCCAGCTCCCCGGGGAGATGTCAAACAAACTGCGTGCGTTAATCTTCTGGGGCAGGCTTGTGGCATGCGGCTATGCGCACCGTGGTCCTCATTTGCATAATGGATTCAAGTATAGGTGCCAGCAGAAAAACGTCGAGACCTGCTCATTTAAAACATTTTCAGCGTGTTTAATTGAAGCTCCATAAGCCATTAATGTTTCAGGAATTGAGTATGATGGATGTGCTCATAGATAATCCCAAATAATGACAAATAAATCGGATAGCAAGTTTTGTGCTTGAGATTTTAGATATTACTTTTTCACCCAGTTTCCGCCTGCCTGTTTCCGCCTGACTTAAAAAATTAGTCCACTTCTGTCTGAAAATATGTTTAAGGTTTGTGGAATGAAAAATCATTAGTTGCAATCATTTTAGTCCAAAGTCATCAATCAATCAATCAGTCAGTCAAGACAAACAGCTGGAAGCCTTATATTAAGGCTTCACCTTTTAAATCCTTGCCCAGCTATTCAGTGAAAAATACATTTTTTTTGCAAATTCTACTTTTGAGTATGAGCTATTTAGTTTTCCCCATAAAGGTGTTCACTTAATTAATCTTTCGGACTCTGTTTCATGCAATCACCTTCATCCACAGTGCTTTCTATCGACCACAAAAAATAAAAGGATACAGCGTCCATTTAGAAAGCGGAAACCTGATGCGAAGGACGCAGGCAACAGACTGTAGCTAGCTTAATTAAGCGTCAAGATAAATTGTGAAATGAAACTCGAGCATTTATTTGGTTTTTAAAGATCATGTTTACTTCAATCACAGCACAGAATACAGAGAATTTTTATTTAATGGTTTCTTTGTCGCTCGAAAGGAAATACGAAACGAAACACATGAGAAAAACTATCTCAACTTGTTGGTTGTATTGTGTGTGTGCCTGTGTATTCGTTTAGGTGTTTGTAGTTGTGCGGCAAGAAGAAGAGCATAGCTAAAGGCTTTGTGTGTTTGCCTGCGTGGGTGCAAGCAGCGGAGGCAGCAGTAGGCGCCGCAGAGTAATTGGAAAATATATATAGTTAGATGCAGAGGATGAAAGAAAACGAGAAGAACAGAAGCAAAGAAGGCAAAACATAGCTCAAGGTGTTTTATATCTTTGGAAGGGTATTTGATATTTTAAGACTTTAGAAATATTTCTTGACATGTATTGTTGGTTTTTTCTTTTTATATGCAATATAAGTACTAATCTCAAAGTTTTAACACACATCTAACATCTATATCTTGAATTATTTATGTATATTTATATGTATATGTATATATATATATATATGTATAGTATGTAGATGTATATAAGTTGCTTTATGTATATGTTACGCTTTGTTAAAACACAGTTACAGTTGCTAGTTTCATTTGACTTGGTTCTACGCTTATATCAGGTTCGAAATGGTTTTTAAGCTATTTTTCATTATTATTATTATTTTTTTTTTGTTCGTTAGTGGTACAGCAGTTGTGTTTTCTGATTGTTGCCAGTTGCAAACAAAAATAAAATACTTATAATAAGCTAACTTAAGAAACTAAGAAAAAATTGTACAATTATAATAAAATATACAAATATTATATAGTGAAAACGAAACACATATTATAATCTCAATTGGGTAACTAAAACACTTTATAAAAATTAAAACTAGAAACTGATCAAGCGCGTAATGCATATATTCAAAGGACATTTAGACGAGGTCTCTGCATTTTGCTTTGTCTCAGTTCATGCTAGGAAATTTGTGTACACATTTATAAATCAGCCTTCGTCCCTTTGACTAAAAATTGCCAGCGCCTTGGCTCTTCGATCTCATGCAGCTCCAATGTGGTTCACTTAGTACTGATAGTTGTGTGGAAAAACAGCGCGTGCGGGCAAATAGCAGGGATCGTGCTGGTTGCGATAGCGACGCGCCAGAAAAACGGCCAAAACCTGTTGAAAATGTGAAAAAAGAGTTAGAAGAAATGTCACGAAACAAACATAAATATAATGTTGAAACAGAAGAATAGAAATAACTTAAGAAAACCAAACATTATTATAACAATTATATGAATATGTCTCACCAGATGCGTTAGCCGAGCTTAAACTTTCTAAGATACTTTAGTTTAGTTAGGATACTTCGCCAAAGAGTTTGTTAGTGTATGAAGAAGTATATAGGGCATACAGATGTGTGCAAGTATGTGAATGTAAAATGTGTTTAATGTTCAGTTCCGAAAAACACTTGATTGCTGGTGTTCGTTATAAAGGATTAAACACGCATCTATATCATGTATATATATATTTATATTATATATATATGTAGTATTCTAAATGTATATGTTGTATTTCTAGAGTTGTAAATGTGTGTATGTATGGCCTAATGGATAATGCGTACTTAGTTATATTTGACCACATCCCGTAAGTACAAAGTAGTTGCTAGTATGTATGTTAGCATGCAGTTATGCATGTGTAAGAGATGCTTGTATAAATATAAATATGCTTCTATATTATGTATGCGTGTACGTATGTGTGTGCTGTATGATAGCAGCTAACCACAAAGTTGATCTGATAGACCCACGATTGTTGCATGAATATGAAATTTACACATTGACATTAATTGTTTTTCAGTAGAGACACATGCGTTTTGAGCGCTTGTGCGTCTGCAATTAGTATTTGTTATTTATATATTTTTCGGTTTAGTATGCAATTTAGAGGAAGGCGCTGGGCAAGCCGCGCGGATCCTTTTGATTGCGATAGCGCACTGTTAGCCAGACACCAACGAACTGAATGCATGCCATGAGAAAATACAATTGCAAGAGATTACAGATTGGACTATAAGACACCGAACTACGCCAAACACTCACCTCAGTGAAACTGAAGAAGATGCCCAGACCGCCGCACAGTTTAAAGGCATAATCTATCTTATCCTCCAACAAGGGGCCGCAGGGTCCGCAACGGCACAACGGATCCTTGGAGTCGGCACAGCACTCTCTATTGATTATCTCGCAGCTGGGCTCCTCGCCATTGGTGACGCTGTTGCTGGTGGCATTGAAGCCGCAGCAAAGGAAGCTGTCCTGCACCTGTTTACGCAGCTTGGGTGGCACCGTCTTCCAGCCCTGCTCGGCGAACTGTTGCTGCTGCTCGGAGTTAACGGCCAAACAGGAGCTGGCAATCGAGAACTGGATGAGGAAGAGCATGAACAAAATGATCATGTACTGCATTGAGCAGAGTTAAGGTCAACCAACGAATGATAATGTTATCGATACTTTAGTTAACCTATTTGGTTATCAGTTCATATTATTATTATAAACAGACGCGCTGATAAGCTGCAGCTGACGCAATAGCTAAATGTACGGAAGTCCGAGGAAAGCAATTAGCCAAGTAACTAGATTCATGCCAACAGCTGCGTCATGCTGAAGCCCAACTGGAATACACCAAACACACAGACCTGCACACATGCATATGGGCATTCATAATTATGAGCTTGTATTTGAAATGTGCGGATGTGTGTAGTTAGGGCAAATGTCAGCCCCATCGACATACGTTGACCTTCAGCTGTGCGGCTGGAGGAGCACATTGCATAGACACAGCTCACTTGTGCGTGCAGATTTCCTGCACATACACAGATAAATATGGCATGTAGGCCTATGTGTAGGGCATGTGCTTAGAGCATTTCTTTTGTTGTTGTTGTTGTTGTCGTTGGAAAAAGGATACAAAGAAGAGCATCACTTGATGGTGCTTGACGGCGCCAGCAAGGCCCAGCATGGATATGCAGATGAGTATCACCCCGCAGGCGAGGATGCCACCAACAATTGGCAGATTCGTGACAACGGAGGCCGCCCGCGCATAGACACCGACGCCAATCAGCAAGAAACCAATCATCTGAAAATAAGCATGTCAAATAGAAACAAAAGGCTTCATAAATAATAACAAATTAACAGTTCCAGCATTGAGCATTGCATGCAAATTTTCAAATTTTTTTTCCTGTGTATACAACGCAATTTTCGTGTTGTTCTTGTTGTTGGTTTTTTTTTTGTTTTCTGCTTACCACATACAAAATGTTAAGCGCAATTAGCGCGTTCTTGGAGCAGGTAAAACCACCACACATTTTGCTGTTTTTTTGAACTTTTGTTTTGTCGTGCTTTTTAATAATTGCCTAATTTTGTTTAATTCTTAAATTTGAAAAAAAATGTAGCCAGTGTTTTATTCGTCTGTGGCGCAGGTTTCACTTTCACTGTAATACACATGGAAAATGCGCTAAAAAATGTCTTGTGATTGTTGAGAAATACGCTAAAAATTACCTCAGATACTATTAGGAAGAGATGAA